CACCTATCAGTCCCACCTATCAGTCCCACCTATCATTCCCACCTATCAGCCCCATCTATCAGTCCCACCTATCAGTCCCTCCTATCAGCCCCTCCTATCAGCCCCACCTATCAGTCCCACCTATCAGTCCCACCTATCAGTCACACCCACCTATCAGTCCCACCTATCAGTCCCACCTATCATTCCCACCTATCAGCCCCATCTATCAGTCCCACCTATCAGTCCCTCCTATCAGCCCCTCCTATCAGCCCCACCTATCAGTCCCACCTATCAGTCCCACATATCAGTCCCACCTATCAGTCCCACCTATCAGTCCCACCTATCAGTCCCACCTATCAGTCCCACCTACCTATCAGTCCCACCTACCTATCAGTCCCATCTATCAGTCCCACCTATCAGTCCCACCTACCTATCAGTCCCACCTATCAGTCCCACCTATCAGTCCCACCTATCAGTCCCACCTACCTACCTGTCAGTCCCACCTACCTACCTATCAGTCCCACCTATCAGTCCCACCTATCAGTCCCACCTATCAGTCCCACTTATCAGTCCCACCTATCAGTCCCACCATATCAGTCCCACCTATCAGTCCCACCTATCAGTCCCACCTACCTATCAGTCCCACCTATCAGTCCCACCTATCAGTCCCACCTATCAGTCCCACCTATCAGTCCCACATATCAGTCCCACCTATCAATCCCACCTATCAGTCCCACCTATCAGTCCCACCTATCAGTCCCACCATATCAGTCCCACCTACCTATCAGTCCCACCATATCAGTCCCACCTTCCTATCAGTCCCACATATCAGTCCCACCTATCAGTCCCACCATATCAGTCCCACCTACCTATCAATCCACCTATCAGTCCCACCTATCAGTCCCACCTATCAGTCCCACCTACCTATCAGTCCCACCTATCAGTCCCACCTATCAGTCCCACCTATCAGTCCCACCTATCAGTCCCACCTATCAGTCCCACATATCAGTCCCACCTATCAATCCCACCTATCAGTCCCACCTATCAGTCCCACCTATCAGTCCCACCTATCAGTCCCACCTACCTATCAGTCCCACCTATCAGTCCCACCTATCAGTCCCACCTATCAGTCCCACCTATCAGTCCCACCTATCAGTCCCACCTATCAGTCCCACCTACCTATCAGTCCCACCTACCTATCAGTCCCACCTACCTATCAGTCCCACCTACCTATCAGTCCCACCTACCTATCAGTCCCACCTACCTATCAGTCCCACCTATCAATCCCACCTATCAGTCCCACCTATCAGTCCCACCTATCAGTCCCACCTATCAGTCCCACCTATCAGTCCCACCTATCAGTCCCACCTACCTATCAGTCCCACCTATCAGTCCCACCTATCAGTCCCACCTATCAGTCCCACCTATCAGTCCCACATATCAGTCCCACCTATCAATCCCACCTATCAGTCCCACCTATCAGTCCCACCTATCAGTCCCACCATATCAGTCCCACCTACCTATCAGTCCCACCATATCAGTCCCACCTTCCTATCAGTCCCACATATCAGTCCCACCTATCAGTCCCACCATATCAGTCCCACCTACCTATCAATCCCACCTATCAGTCCCACCTATCAGTCCCACCTATCAGTCCCACCTACCTATCAGTCCCACCTATCAGTCCCACCTATCAGTCCCACCTATCAGTCCCACCTATCAGTCCCACCTATCAGTCCCACATATCAGTCCCACCTATCAATCCCACCTATCAGTCCCACCTATCAGTCCCACCTATCAGTCCCACCTATCAGTCCCACCTATCAGTCCCACCTATCAGTCCCACCTATCAGTCCCACCTATCAGTCCCACCTATCAGTCCCACCTACCTATCAGTCCCACCTACCTATCAGTCCCACCTACCTATCAGTCCCACCTACCTATCAGTCCCACCTACCTATCAGTCCCACCTACCTATCAGTCCCACCTATCAATCCCACCTATCAGTCCCACCTATCAGTCCCACCTATCAGTCCCACCTATCAGTCCCACCTATCAGTCCCACATATCAGTCCCACCTATCAGTCCCACCATATCAGTCCCACCTATCAGTCCCACCTATCAGTCCCACCTACCTATCAGTCCCACCTATCAGTCCCACCTATCAGTCCCACCTATCAGTCCCACCTATCAGTCCCACCTATCAGTCCCACATATCAGTCCCACCTATCAATCCCACCTATCAGTCCCACCTATCAGTCCCACCTATCAGTCCCACCTATCAGTCCCACCTATCAGTCCCACCTATCAGTCCCACCTATCAGTCCCACCTATCAGTCCCACCTATCAGTCACACCTACCTATCAGTCCCACCTATCAGTCCCACCTATCAGTCCCACCTATCAGTCCCACATATCAGTCCTACCTATCAGTCCCACCTATCAGTCCCACCTACCTATCAGTCCCACCTACCTATCAGTCCCACCTATCAGTCCCACCTATCAGTCCCACCTACCTATCAGTCCCACCTATCAGTCCCACCTATCAGTCCCACCTATCAGTCCCACCTATCAGTCCCACCTATCAGTCCCACCTATCAGTCCCACCTATCAGTCCCACCTATCAGTCACACCTACCTATCAGTCCCACCTATCAGTCCCACCTATCAGTCCCACCTATCAGTCCCACATATCAGTCCTACCTATCAGTCCCACCTATCAGTCCCACCTACCTATCAGTCCCACCTACCTATCAGTCCCACCTATCAGTCCCACCTACCTATCAGTCCCACCTATCAGTCCCACCTATCAGTCCCACCTATCAGTCCCACCTACCTACCTATCAGTCCCACCTATCAGTCCCACCTTTCAGTCCCACCTATCAGCCCCGTCTATCAGCCCCGCCTATCAGTCCCACCTATCAGTCCCACCTATCAGTCCCACCTATCATTCCCACCTATCAGCCCCATCTATCAGTCCCACCTATCAGTCCCTCCTATCAGCCCCTCCTATCAGCCCCGCCTATCAGTCCCACCTATCAGTCCCACCTATCAGTCCCACCTATCATTCCCACCTATCAGCCCCATCTATCAGTCCCACCTATCAGTCCCTCCTATCAGCCCCTCCTATCAGCCCCACCTATCAGTCCCACCTATCAGTCCCACCTATCAGTCCCACCTATCAGTCCCACCTATCAGTCCCACCTATCAGTCCCACCTATCAGTCCCACATATCAGTCCCACCTATCAGTCCCACCTATCAGTCCCACCTATCAGTCCCACCTATCAGTCCCACCTATCAGTCCCACCTATCAGTCCCACCTATCAGTCCCACCTATCAGTCCCACCTATCAGTCCCACCTACCTATCAGTCCCACCTACCTATCAGTCCCATCTATCAGTCCCACCTATCAGTCCCACCTACCTATCAGTCCCACCTATCAGTCCCACCTATCAGTCCCACCTATCAGTCCCACCTACCTACCTATCAGTCCCACCTACCTACCTATCAGTCCCACCTATCAGTCCACCTATCAGTCCCACCTATCAGTCCCACCTATCAGTCCCACCTACCTATCAGTCCCACCTATCAGTCCCACCTATCAGTCCCACCTATCAGTCCCACCTACCTACCTATCAGTCCCACCTACCTACCTATCAGTCCCACCTATCAGTCCACCTATCAGTCCCACCTATCAGTCCCACCTATCAGTCCCACCTACCTATCAGTCCCACCTATCAGTCCCACCTATCAGTCCCACATATCAGTCCCACCTATCAGTCCCACCTATCAGTCCCACCTATCAGTCCCACCTATCAGTCCCACCTATCAGTCCCACCTATCAGTCCCACCTATCAGTCCCACCTATCAGTCCCACCTATCAGTCCCACCTACCTATCAGTCCCACCTACCTATCAGTCCCATCTATCAGTCCCACCTATCAGTCCCACCTACCTATCAGTCCCACCTATCAGTCCCACCTATCAGTCCCACCTATCAGTCCCACCTACCTACCTATCAGTCCCACCTACCTACCTATCAGTCCCACCTATCAGTCCACCTATCAGTCCCACCTATCAGTCCCACCTATCAGTCCCACCTACCTATCAGTCCCACCTATCAGTCCCACCTATCAGTCCCACCTATCAGTCCCACCTATCAGTCCCACCTATCAGTCCCACCTATCAGTCCCACCTACCTATCAGTCCCACCTACCTATCAGTCCCATCTATCAGTCCCACCTATCAGTCCCACCTACCTATCAGTCCCACCTATCAGTCCCACCTATCAGTCCCACCTATCAGTCCCACCTACCTACCTATCAGTCCCACCTACCTACCTATCAGTCCCACCTATCAGTCCACCTATCAGTCCCACCTATCAGTCCCACCTATCAGTCCCACCTACCTATCAGTCCCACCTATCAGTCCCACATATCAGTCCCACCTATCAGTCCCACCTATCAGTCCCACCTATCAGTCCACCTATCAGTCCCACCTATCAGTCCCACCTATCAGTCCCACCTATCAGTCCCACCATATCAGTCCCACCTATCAGTCCCACCTATCAGTCACACCCACCTATCAGTCCCACCTATCAGCCCCGCCTATCAGCCCCGCCTATCAGTCCCACCTATCAGTGGGGGCGTGGAGGGGTGGAGGGGTGGAGTGGGGGAGGGGGGGAAGGGTGGTGGGGTGGTGGGGTGGTGGAGGGGTGGGGGGGTGGGGGGGTGGGAGGGTGGAGGGTTGGGGAGTCAGGCTGAGCAGCTAGTCTTGGCCTTTCCAAGACATTGACCCCGGTACACAACTGCGCAACCTTGTCCCTGCCGCAAGGACGATATGATTCACAATGGCGCCCTCCCTATCTCCCTCTCTCAGATTCCCCTTCTCGATTTCTCCTTCCTCTTCCCCCCACCCACCCTGTGCTACCAGCTGTGCCACGAGTCAGGATCAGCAGCGAATCTCGGTCTTTCCAAAACCCTAACCCCCATGCACAACTGTCGCAACCTCTGCAACGGAGGATATGATTCACAACGGATCCCTCCTCAATCTCCCTCTCTCCATTCCCCCTCTTCTAACCCAACCACCACACCAGCTGTGCCACCAGTCAGGCTCAGCAGCCAATCTGGGCCTCACAAAGGCTCTCACTCCCGTGTCCAACTGTCGCAACCTCCGCAAGGAGGATATGATCCACAACGGCGCCCTCCCAGCCATCCACGTGGACCCTGAGACCTACCAGGTCACCGCTGACGGGGCACCGCTGACGTGTCAGCCAGCTGGCGAGCTGCCACTGGCTCAGAGCTACTTCCTCTTTTAAGTGGGTGGGGGTTGGGGCCGGGGGTGGGAAAGGGGAAGAAAGAGAGGATTAAGACGTGGTTGTATAAATAGGACTTAAGGGAAAAAATTAGTCATTTTCAGAGACTGAAACGCTGAGGGTAGCAAGAAAGCAGGAGGGTAGCTTCTGTTGGTGCTTACTTCACCTTTGTCTCGCTTTGTAGAACTAGGGAGGGGAAGTTGGGAGAGGAAGTTACTAGATAGATCCTCAAGAGCAGTAAGCGAAAAGGTCAAAAGCAGCTGGAGACACAGCAGAGAAGAGAGAGCATCACCCAAGCGTCGCTATTGGGTGAGGTGGCCAAGGAGCCAGGTGGGGAAACGAGCAGCATGGAGCGTCAAGCGGAGGAGGAGAAGGGGCGAACAGCCCCGCCCGCTCCGCCCCTGCCATCGGACTGGGCGGTGTGGCAGCTGCTGGACTCGCTGCTGCCTGCTGGTGGCTTCGCTCACTCGCTGGGGCTGGAAGCAGCAGCAAGCGCAGGCTTCCTTGCGGGCGCGGGGAGAGGAGGAAGGGCAGTTGCGGCAGGTGGGGCAGGTGGGGGTGCAGGTGGGGCAGGGGGAGCAGGCACCGGACCAAGTGGGGGGAGCGGTGATAGTGGCGCAGGGAGAGGGGGAGGAGGCAGCGGGGAGGGGAGGAGTGAGATGGTGGTGTCGCTGCGAGTGTTTGTGCTCACGGCCGTGCATGCCAATGCTGCCCTGCTGCTGCCCTTAGTTGCCACGGCTCATGGGATCGCTTGTGCCAGCAGGAATGCCTCGGCTTGCGGGGCTGCTGCAACAGCTGCAGTGGCAGCGCCAGCAGGAGCTGCACCAGCGAGCATAGCAATGGCAGGGACAACGGCAGCAGGAATAGGAGATGGCGCAGCGGCAGGCGCAGCCACAGGAACAGCCGCAGGAGCAGCAGCAGGGGCTGCAGTTGGTTTTAACTGGTTTAGCGCTGGTAATAGCGCGTCATTTTCGTTTGAAGAGGCGGTTCTTCAGCCAATAGTGGAGCGACACGTGGCACGTGGCGCGTTTGGTGACGCCCTGGCAGCAGCCGACAGCTGTCTGAACGCCATGCTGGCGAATGACGTGGCACGCAAGGTACGGGGGGTGGTTATGGCAAACTTTGCAAACATTGTATGATGTGGCACGCAATGTATGGAGGGTGTTTCTGGCAGGCCAGTCCCTCCCTGCTCTCTCTATTGCTCCCATGCTCCCATGTTCCACTCTCCGCTGTTCCCACCCTGCTCTTCTGCACCACTTGCCCCCATGCTTCACGCATCACCCCAGATCTCCCTCTCCCAGGGCTCAGCTCTCCTTTGAGTTGCCCCCACTGTCTCCCTCAACCCCTCTCCACTGCTCTCCACCCCATTGCTCCCATCAATCCATGCTCCCACCTGTACCCTAATTGTCCCCAAACCCCACCACATGCCCCACCACACCAGGTCTCCCTCTCTCAGGGCTCTGCCCTGCTTCGAGTCGCCTCGACAGTCTTCCCGGAAGCCTCTCCCCTGCTCTCGACCTATCGCACGAGGACACGTCAGCAGGGTCAACCAAGTCAACCAAGTCAACCCAGTCAACACAGTCAACACAGTCAACCGAGTCAACCCACCTCATCTCCTCGTGCCTACGGCCACCACGCCGTGATCTTCGGAGCTCTCTGTGGGTGTCTCTCCATCCCCCTACCCTCCGCCCTGAGAGGCCTCGTCTACTGCGCCCTCAGGGACTGCCTGTCTGCCGCCACGCGGCTCAACCTGATTGGCCCGCTGCAAGCCGCGGGGATGCAGAGGGAGATGGTGAGAGATGCTGAGAGGATAGTGATGGAGGTGGGAGGAGGGGATGGGGGAGGTGGAGGGGATGGTGGGGATGGGGCTGTTGGGGATAGGGCACCAAATGTTGCACCCATGCCACTATGCATGGATGCAGCATGTCAGGTGGGTCCCATGGTGGAGATCATTCAGGCGGGGCATGCTGTCCTCACCAGCAGGCTGTTCCTCTCTTGACCCGCGTTGACCCGCTTTGACCAGCGTTGACACTCGTTGACCAGCGATGAGAAGGCCGTAACCAAACATCCTCAGGTGTGTCTTTAACAGTTAATCAAGTTTGTGAGGGTGGGGAGATGGAGGAGGAAGGACGTGAGGAGGGGAAGATGGAAGAGAGGAAGATGGAGGAGGGGGAGATGGAAGAGGGAGGAGCGGAGGAGGGGGAGATGGAGGAGGGAGGAGTGGGAGGAGTGGAGGAGGGGGAGATGGAAGAGGGAGGAGCGGAGGAGGGGGAGATGGAGGAGGGAGGAATGGGAGGAGTGGAGGAGGGGGAGATGGAAGAGGGAGGAGCGGAGGAGGGGGAGATGGAGGAGGGAGGAGTGGGAGGAGTGGAGGGGGAGATGGAAGAGGGAGGAGCGGAGGAGGGGGAGATGGAAGAGGGAGGAGTGGGAGGAGTGGAGGAGGGGGAGATGGAGGAGGGGGAGATGGAGGAGGGAGGAGTGGAGAAGGGGGAGATGGAGGAGGAAGGAGGTGAGGAGGGGGAGATGGAGGAGGAAGGAGCAGGGGAGGGGGAGATGGAGGAAGGAGGTGAGGAGGGAGAGATGGAGGAGCAAGGAACTGGGGAGCAGGCGGGGGGGACGCGACAGGCACAAGGAGCAGGGCGAGGAATTGGGAGAGAAACAGGTGAGAGGGAAGCACGGAGAGCAGCAGGTGGAGCAGCAGGTGCAGTGCGTGAAAGGAGCTCTGTTCTTGGTAGTGTGCAGCCAAGCGTGCACGTGGGTGAGGCAGAAGCAGTGGCTGCTGCAGCAACAACAGCAGTGGCAGCGGCAGCAGCTGCAACTGTGGGTGCGGGAGTGCGGCGGGGCGGCATGGATTGGACTGGAGTGCTGGTGGTGGAGCTGGTGGGCGGCCACAGCACAGCAACGAGGAGCTTCTGTCGGTACCCACTCAAGATCATGGTGCCATCCAAGGTACATGCTGGCATGCCTGCACGGCCATGCATAGAGTTTAGGAGATTCTGTCGGTACCCGCTCAAGATCATGGTGCCCTCCAAGGTACATGCTGGCATGCCTGCACGGCCATGCATAGAGTTTAGGAGATTCTGTCGGTACCCGCTCAAGATCATGGTGCCCTCCAAGGTACATGCTGGCATGCCTGCACGGCCATGCATAGAGTTTAGGAGATTCTGTCGGTACCCGCTCAAGATCATGGTGCCCTCCAAGGTACATGCTGGCATGCCTGCACGGCCATGCATAGAGTTTAGGAGATTCTGTCGGTACCCGCTCAAGATCATGGTGCCCTCCAAGGTACATGCTGGCATGCCTGCACGGCCATGCATAGAGTTTAGGAGATTCTGTCGGTACCCGCTCAAGATCATGGTGCCCTCCAAGGTACATGCTGGCATGCCTGCACGGCCATGCATAGAGTTTAGGAGATTCTGTCGGTACCCGCTCAAGATCATGGTGCCCTCCAAGGTGCGTAGAGGCATGGCTGTTCAGGTGTTGGTGAGTATAGCAGTGCATGTGCAGGTGTTGTGTGCAGCGCAGCACAGCGACGAGGAGCTTCTGTCACTATCCAGTCTCCCCTGACGCTTCCCTCTCTCACTCCCCCACCCTCTCTCCTCCCCCACCCCCTCTCTCCTTGTTGCAGGTCGCAGCCTCAGGGGTGGATGCAGTGTGGGCGTACATAATCACCTATGGGGGCGGCATAGTGGCAGGGGACAAAGTGACGCTCTCCTGTGCGGTGCAGTGCGGTGCCACGGCCGTGTTCGCCTCCCAGGCATCTACCAAGATCTTCCACTCCATGCCGGGTGAGTGCGTTCTGCTGTCACTGAATATTTGTCCACTCCCACTGCAGATTCGTCTCTCTCCTTCTATCTCATCCTTCTGCCGCCCCTCACTCCTTTCTCCCTCCTTCCCTCTTTCCTGCTACATAACTCTTTCCCTCTCCTGCTATGTATCCCTTTCCCTCTCCCTCTCTCTCAGGCACCCCACCAGCCCGCCAGCTCATCACCGCAACCATCCAGCCTGGCGCCTTGCTGGCGGTGCTCCCCGAACCAATCACGTGCTTCCGAGCATCGCAGTACCAGCAGCTGCAGAGCATCCACGTGGCGCCAGGTGGCAGCCTCGTATTGGTCGACTGGCTGACGAGCGGGCGGCGGGATCGAGGGGAGGTGTGGGAGATGGAGTGTTACGAGAGTTGTAACCGCATCTACCGGGAAGGAGAGGAGATCCCTCTAGTCTTTGACAAGGTTAGTCTCATTTCATGCTCTCATTTCATGCTGTTTTTTAGTAAGTAGTTGCTGATGTTGTCTATCTGTTGTTACAATGCTAACTTCGCAAAACAATAGTTGGCAACTCGGTGCGTTACGAGTAAACCTTGTTGTTCTCTCGTCCATGCCTCCAATTGCAATGCTGCAGGTGAAGCTTTCAGCCAATGCGGTGGTGCCACCTGGACAGCAGCTGGAGGGCATTCATGTGCTCACCACCATCATTATCCTGGGGTGAGTGTCGGGCCACCCTCGATATTAACGGGGTGTTACGATATTTGTATCATCGCCACGGTTTGAGTGTGTCACATGTTCCTTCACTTCCTTGTCTTACGCCATTCCCTTTCCCTGATTGGCTACTACTTCCCCCCACCCCCTTGCTTCCACCCGTTCTCATCTCCCTCTTCTCTCCTCCCCACTCCGGGCCTTCTCCCCCCAATCCAGTCCACGCACAGAGGCATTGAGGGCCCACTTAAAGGCAGCAGTGGCGCAGGCAGCAGCTGTAGCGTTCAACCCAAGGAGGAGCAGCAGGGGCTAATCTACTGCTTCGCCTGTCCCATGTTCTCCTGCCCCTTCTGTCACCTCCCTCCCACCCATGCTCGCCCCCAATCCAGTCCACGCACAGAGGCAGTGAGGGCCCACTTAAAGGCAGCAGTGGCGCAGGCAGCAGCTGCTGCGTTCAACCTAAGGAGGAGCAGCAGGGGCTATTCTTCCTCTGCTTCCCCTGCCCCTTCTGCCGCCTCTGCCCCATATGCCGAAAGTGTTTCGATGTTGGCTGGTGCTGTGGAGAGCACAGTGTGGGGTTGTTCGTCTGACATGGGACATGTGAGTATTCGTGTTGGTGGTCGTAATAGTGTGCTCACGATGTGTTGCTCTTCCCTGGTTGATTGTGCCGCATATTTATGCACACTCCACCCTCTTAGTAGTCATGTGATTTCATTTTCTCCTGAACGGTTACAGAAACTGTTCTTCCGCTCTATTTTTTACTTCCATCCTACGCTGCTTTGCAGGATGACTTGCTTGTTGTGCGCCTTGCAGCTGGAGACGCAAGTGCAATGTACCATTTCCTGGCGACCAACATAAATCCGCTTGTTCCACAGATTGGTTGCAATCCTTATAAAGACTAGGCTTTCTGGCACAAACTTTTAACCCCATCAGCGGTAATTCTGTACACGTTAGGTTGATACGAATTTACATTGCCGTACTCTTGTATTCCTTCCTAAGGTTGATATATTGAAGGAGACGAGGATAGTGTAGTCTTCCTATTTGCTATCCCGCCAATTGATGCGATCATGCGAGTGCTTTGTCGCCAGACCCCATCGCAAGTTGACGTGATACCGACCTTGACCAGTTCTAACTGTGAGCCGACAAGTTCGTGAAGAGCCACCTGCCGAAAGGGAAGAAACCGCTGAAAGAATCGCCGCGGACAACCCTTCCTGTCCGTTCGGCGCAACGACACTTTCGCGACCCAGCTTAGCGAGGTCGCCTGGTTGCGACGGCTACATGTGCGATGCGCCAGGCGAAAACGGACCCCGCTCCCCGCGCGAGCGAAGGCATGATCGTCCCCGCTGTTCTCGCCTCAAACCCAACCGGACTACTTGGCGAGCCACACGCAGGCCAGGTCCGAACCGAACCAAAATCGTTACAAAAGCCAGGTGGGCGACCCCGAGCCAGCCAAAATTGTCCCCCAATTACCAAACCAGAATTGTCACGGCGCCGCGTTCCGCCCCAACCGGGGCGCTTGGTTATTTTTCTGCTTCGGAAATTTATTCCCAACTTCCGAAGCCGACTCGATTTTTGGGATCCCCGCCCACCTGCTTGCTACTGGCAGCACAGCAAATCCAGGCAAGTGAGATCAAACAAAGCACCAGGACAGCGATCATTCATATTCCCATCAAAGCACGGACCTGCGTCAAAGTATCAATCAGTGTCTGTTTGATCCGAGCTGATACTCCGATTGCCTCTGTTACGGACATTCTTTGAGAAACATCCCGTCCGCCATGGCCGTCTCTCGCGCTGTGCTCCTGCTCCTCGTCCTCGTCCCACTGGCAGTCGCCCAACCCTACCCAAAATGCCCACTCACGGGAAAACTCCCGAAGCCCACTAAGGTCATCCACACGCGGTGCCCCGCGGCTGCGAAAATGTCGTGTTGCCAGGACTGCTTCGACCTGAACTACGCGATTCGGGCGTTAACGACGAATGTTACCTCTGTCGTTGACGCGAACACGGGCGGCATGGGGACGCAGCTGAGCGTTCCGGCCGACGTGTGCGGGCTGTTCAAGGGCTCGGAGACGTGCGAATTGCTCGTCGAGCAGCTCGTGTGCGCTGTCAGCTGCAACCCTGGTGAGTCGCAACGAGCAGCGTCTAATCGTTTTGCTTGTACGTTAGTTTCAGAGATCGAACCTGGATAGTTCGCCGGATTCTCTCTTTCTCGCTGACCCTCTGGCCCCGATTCCCCTTCCGCTGAAAGTCTCGCGTTCTACGAGGTTTCTCTGCTTTCCTCCCCCTTTTCCTTAACGCCCCTCCCCACCTCGTCCCTCTCTTCCGCGTCAGACTCGGGCAACTACTTCAGCAAGGCGACCGGCGCGCCCATCCTCAACATTTGCACGGCCTTCGCGCAGCAGGTGTACGACGCGTGCGGCACCCTCTCGTGTAAGCTACTATCCCGACTTCACCCCACTTTGCAGTTTGAGTATATTCAACGCTCGTCTCACGACCTACCCTGGGTTATCCCAGCACCTGCGTGATTCCCGCCGTATGCTGCGCCTTCACTCTAGCTGTTTCTGACGAGGAATTGCCGACGCTCGTGCCGTTGCGTGCTATTTCCCCTCCCAATTCTTTATTTCAGTGGGCGAGCTCAAAGTGGGTGATTTCCTCTTCACGCCCGCGGATCTGATTCAGTCCGTGCTCGTACCCGTTATTGGCTCCGCCGTTCCCAACTTCAACGCGTCCATCAACGTAAGCAAACTTCTCTTGAACACTATCAGCATTGGTTTGTCGCTGCAAACCCTTTTTTAACAGTTCTTTACCGCTTCTTACCGAGCTTACACCTGAACGTTCGTCACACCTGTCTGAAAACCAATGCTGGCCACTCCCCTCTCTGCGCACAAATCCTTCTCAGGACGTGGGCTGCTACGGCGGACCGGAGCAGGTGCCCTCCACTCCGCTCTGCTGCGATCCGCTCAACGTCCCCCGCCAATGCCCCAAGGGCGCGGTCAACCTCACCGGCTCCGCGGGGATCGTCGGGCGCAAGCCCGCCGCCGCCATCTGCGCGGACTTCCCCTACTCCGCCACCACCGTCCCCTTCAAGCGCGCGCCCCTCCCCGCCACCGCTGCGCCGGAGCTTCCGCCCCCGGCGACTACCCCCCGCGGAGGACAGCCCAAGCCGAACACGAATGATGCCGACACCCCCGCTACACCCGCCGCCAATCCCGGCAAGCCCAGCGGTCTTCCCGCGACCGCCATGGCTCCCCCGGGTCCGAAGGGCGCTGCGTCGAATCTGGTTTCCGCTGCTCTGGTGCTGCTCGCCAGTGCCGTGGCTGCCGCTGTGGCTCTCTAAACAGATATCGAAGCTGTTAATAAAGGGGAAAAATAGCGTTAAGGGGTGGTTTCAGGGGGGCAGCTCAGCCCTGTGGCAAGAAGAATGGTACAGTGACGAAGATCCACTGTGCCGCTATAAATATACTGTAGTAGCTCATTCGTAGATTTCATAGGCTTGCTGTTGATCACTAACAGCGCATTTGTTTCGCAAAGCCTCACATATATGAAATGGTTTAGCCAAGACTGGATTTCCCTGTCATTACACTCCTCCCTTCCATACGTTCCTTACATTGGCACAACAAGTGCCAGCACAGTTGCTAGCTGCCAGTGCCGCCATGGCTGCCGGGGTGATTTGTTCCGGCCCTGGCACCGGGCAGCACAGTTCGTGCTAGGACTGCCTATTGAAACAACTCAAGGCTGTACCAGCATCCACCCTCTTAGCGAATAAACAGGCACTGATCATGGAGCGCGCTCTAATTGCATGCACACCGAAGGCCTGCCTCATAACCATTCAGATAATCAGAGGGTTTGCTGCTGGTGCAGCTGGAACTGTCAACTTAGCAGAAGTTGGAGGAACCATAAGTTTGACGGACTAAAAAATGAGTAGGCAACAGAGCAGGGCACATGGTTTTATGGCATGAGAGAATATATGCTAAATGGTACAAGGCACATGGCTGTAGGCCTCATGCACACGTAGGAAGGGTTTTGCAGTGAAAGATTCCCATTATTGCTACTGCAAAGAGCTGCTAAATACAAGCGAATCGGCATCAGGGACGAATACCTGTATGAATTTCATAAGACATGTGACAAAAAGGAGTGGTGGGTACAAAGAAGTGATGGGGGCTGTACAGAAGAGGAGAGCGAGGGCTGCAAGGGCTGCGGGTGATTCAAAGCACGCAAAACCACTGCCGTAGAGGACGGGTGTGACAAGGGTGAGAAGGGTTCCCGGTTATGTGTGGACACGGGAGGTACCGGTACCAAGAGACAGTTGACTACCGTATGTGCATGCGTGGCTGCTGCACTGGATGCGTCTAGAGCACCCAATGCTTTCACGAAGCATTGCAGCAGAAGTTGGACCAAGCAAGTGACAGCTTCTTGATGCCCCAAGGCAGGAGAACCGCAGTGACTTGGGACCAAGAGGCACCTTCTTGACAGCTGACCCCCGGCCCCCGGGGTGAATAACACTCGCAACACTTAGCGAGGGCGAATTCCCCTGGGGCCTCTCTTGCTACCCCTCTTTCCTGACGTCCCTGCCCCAGAATACCCTCCGTGGCCGGCCCTCCCTCCTCCCACATAATGGAAATCCTCGTCGAAATCCGTCCAAGAGTAGGTGGTCGACGTAGGTCTGCTGTTGCTGCTGCTGCTGTTGCTGCTGCTGCTGCTGCTGCTTCTGGTGGTGTTGCTTCTTGGGGAGCCAGCATTGGCTTCCATGAGTGCATCCTTGTCAGGGACATAGCCTGCACGGGAAGGATCAATGACACGAATGTAGGAAAGAGTCGTGTTTCGAGTCGACTCAGAACACGAAGCATTGGCTTCCGTGAGTGCATCCTTGTCCGGGACATAGCCTGCACGGGAAGGACCAGGGACACGGACGTAGGAACGGCGCGCACACAGAAGCTTTGAATGGTTGAATACGAACCATCCTGGCCCGCCTTATGAGCTTCCCTCTTGGCCCCCTTTCCACCCACCACACAACGTTCTTCTTTGTATAATAAGTCCGGGAATACGACTACTCCACTGCCACCTCTCACTTGCACCACCCCCTTTCTACTTTTGAGACGTCTCAAAAGACCACACAACTTCCTTCTTTGTATAATAAGCCCGGGACTACTCCACGGCCACCTCTCACTTGCACCACCCCCTTTCCACTCCGACTCCCACCCATCACAGCCAATATGCATGCATTCTGCGAGCTTGCACGCACTCACGAAGCTTGGACATAGCCACCCTCACTCCCCACTCTCCACTCATAACCAACACAAACACACACACTCACGAAGCTTGGCAGCGTATCGAGAGACATAGCCACCCCCACTCCGCACTCGTAGCCCACACGCTCTCACTCACACTCACCAAGCTTAGCAGCCCAGGAATATGTCTGCTCCACTGCCACCTCCCGTGCCGCCCCCTTTCCACTCCCACTCCCGCTCCCTCCACTGCCGTTCCTCCCATAGCTGAACTCATACCGTGTGCCTGTACCGCCTTCCATCCAGTCAAACCCCTCATCATCGCTCCCTGCCATCCAGTACAGGTCCCTCTCCCGCTCCCTCCCCCCCAGCACCACTCCCGGACCCGCACTCCCCGACCCAAACATGCTCCCGCCCATCCTATCCCCAATTCTCTCCACACTGCCTGATCTGCTGCTAGGATTGGCAGAAGAGGAAGCGGAGGAGGAAGAGGAAGAGGAGGGGGACGAGGAGGAGGTGCCGTTGCGGTCGTAAAGCCGGCGGTCGATGGTGACGTGAAAGGACTCGTCCCTTGTGCGGACCTCCACTTGAGGGCGCTTGCCGTGCAGCAATGCATCAACGCTCCTGTCAGTCTGCAGGGAGTAGGGAAGATGGGCAAGAGAGATTTTCTTAGAACTTCCCAACTAGCAAGGGCCGGCGCTGCTGTGGCCTTTTGAGTCAACTAAACAATGACGGCGCTGTTGAGGCCTTTTGAGTCAACAAAAAAATGGCAACTCTGGATTCGGAGGCGCCTCATAATCAACACACCTGATGGCCGACCCAGAAGTGCCGCTCTCGCATCTCTATCAGCACAGGGAAGGTGGGCGGCGCTGCTTAGATGTGGTTGGTATTGAGTCGGCTCTAAGAACAGCTAATATAGAAGCTCCTCAGACTTACACACCTGATGGGCGACCCAGAAGTGCCGCTCGCGCATCTCAATCAACACCGGGAAGGTGGGCGGAGCTGTTCTCTCCAACACACTCTTCTGTGTGCCCCGTGACCTCGCCTCCTCGTCCCCCAAGGTTACTGTCTGCACCCCTCCCACCTGGAAAGTTGAGAAGATGGAGAGAGGAAAGTGAGGCGAGTGGCACAAAGGAGGCGAGGGGAGGGCGGAGGGGCACAGGGAGGACAGAGGGGAACAGAGGGGAAGGTGGGCAGTGCTGTTCTCTCCAACACACTCTTCTGTGTGCCTCGTGACCTCGCCTCCTCATCTCCCAGAGTCACCGTCTGCACCCCTCCCACCTGGAAAGTCGAGAAGAAGTGAGGAACGAGAAGAAGTGAGAAGTGGGTGGAGAGAGGAACGAGAGGCGAGAGAGAGCGCCACAAGGGGGAGGACGAGGGGGACCGGGAAAAGAGGCGGTTAACATGGGCGGTGCGGTGCTCTCCAGCCTCCTCGTCTCCCAGAGTCACCGTGTGCAACCCGTCCATGGTGAAGGGAGATAAGCAACTTCCCGTGCACTATGCCCAGCAGCGTTTTAAGGTTACCAAATTAAATGCCTTGATCCCATGCCCCCATGGTCTCACCAGGTCGCAGAGCGTGGGGTTCTTAATGAGATTCTCCAGCAGCTGCCCGTGTGCCGTGCCCACCAGCATCACGCCCCTCTCCGCTATCGTTCTGCATGCTAGGGCCTCTGCCTCCGTGCCAATCTCGTCCACTATCACCACCTGTGGGCAGAGGCAGGAAAGGTACAAGCAGACACAAGCAGGCACAAGCAGGCACAAGCAGGCACAAGCAGGCACGGGCAGGCACGGGCAGGCACAGGCAGGGAAGAGTTTAATGCGTCTCAAAATGCTATCGTTCTGCATGCTAGGGCCTCTGCCTCCGTGCCAATCTCGTTCACTATCACCACCTGTAGGCAGCCAAAAGTAGAAATAGGCAGTCACATGCAGGGAAGAGGCGCGGGTCAGCTAACACTTCACCAATCACCACAGGCACGTGATTCTCAACGACCTCCACCATCACTCGGTGCTGCTACCTGTGGCATGCACCATACATACAGCATGCATGCACCATCCCCTCTCACCTGAGGCACGTGATTCTCCACAGCCTCCACCATCACGCAATGCTGCAGAGCAGGGTCCCGCACCTGCATGCGCCCACCCAGTCAATACACACATCCGCTAGCGTGTCACCTGCTCAGTCATCTCACCTGCGGCATGTGATTCTCAACGGCTTCCACCATCACGCGGTGCTGCAGCGCAGGATCCGGCACGTGCATGCGCCTATTGAGTCAACAAACCACGCACTTGAGCCATCTCCTCCTCACTCACCTGCGGCATGTGGTTTTCCACGGCCTCCACCATCACGCGGTGCTGCAGAGCAGGATCTGGCACCTGCATGCGCCGCGCGCCGCCAATCGCGGGGTGAGGCACGTCCCCGTCGCCCCCGATCTCGTTGCTCGTGTCCACTATGACAACTCTTTTCTGCATCTCGTCTGCTAGCACTCGCGCTATCTCGCGAATGACTGTTGTCTTGCCGACTCCGGGCCTGGAAGGGTGTGCAAAGGGGTGCAAAGGGAGGGGGTAAGAGCAGGTTAGGCACGTCCCCGTCCCCCCCGATCTCGTTCCTCGTGTCCACTACCACCACGCGCTTCTGCATCTCGTCTGCGCAATTTCTCGAATCACCGTCGTCTTGCCCACGCCAGGCCTGCACAAGTTGAGAAGCGAGGGGAGAGGAGGACGAGAAGAAAGAGGGGAATATACGGCCTTGGGGATGGCGGGGAGAGAAGGTTGGGTTCAGAGAGACGGTCTTGCTAGAGATGAGATGGGCACGAACCTTCCGAGAAGAACAGAGTAGAGAGATTGATCCAGCACGAACCTTCCGAGAAACAGAAGGCTCTGCCCGTGGTGCAGCAGATCGCGGACCATGTCCACGTGGCCGGTGACGGCGCGCCCCACGCGACACGTCAGCCCGACCACGTCACCCTTGCGGTTGCGGATGGCGCTGATGCGGTGGAGCGTCCCCTCCACGCCAGCGCGATTGTCGCCGCCAAACGCCCCGATGGACTCGCAGGCGGATTCGAGGTCCCCGCGGGTGACCTGTGCCACGTCAGCATGGCAAGAAAAGCACGCACGTATCAGCAATCCTTCCTCTAATGCTACTCCAACTCATCCTACTTACCTCTTTAATCGTAATTCCTCTCAAATCCTACTTTGCTCACACATCTAGTCCACCAATTTGATGACACGGACCTCTCTAAGCATACTTACCTCTTCAATCCGACTTACCTCTTTAATCCGACTTACCTCTGCCTCCTGCAGGTACTCAGCCCCGCCGTCGCCCAGAAAGCGCGCCTCGGGTCGACGGCCGAGATCCAACACCACCTGATACGGACGGCGGGGAGAAGGGGTGGGAGGGAGCAGGAAGGGGAAAGGGGGAAGGAGGAAAGGGGAAGGGGGAAGGAGGTAGGATGAGGTACGTGGGAAAGGTGGGGAAAGAGGTGGGACGGGTGGCGGCGAAACGGTGGCCGGGCGACTCCTGACCGCGCCTCAAGGTAATTTTCAGTATCTTCAGATATACCCTGCAAATATCAAATAACACAGGACCCGTAGCCCCTGAGCGCACCTCGAGCAGCTCGGATCTGCGAGGGTGCTGCAGCAGGTTTCCTCGAAGGTTTCCCGGCAGGCAGTGGAGCAGTTCGTCCAGGTCGTCTCGCACGATCACCGCGCCGTCCTCCACCAACTCGTTTGGCCCCGCTACAGCCGGCTCCGCTACAGCCGTCGGCTCCGCTACAGAGGGACCCGCTTGAGTCAACGGAACAGCTTGCGAAGAATCGCGCCCCACCGCGCGTGAAACCTCCGACTCCGAATTCAAATTCGAAAAGGCTGTTGCTGTGGACTCTGCTTCGGAAGCAAGATAATTACCCTCCATATCTCCGGACATTGACGCGGATATGGCGGTTACGTGGACTAGGCCGGCTGGCCTGGATACAGAGCCCTTGCTCTGCGTCGCTCGCCGCCGGACATGCGAGGTGAGGCTAAGAGCGGGCTTCACGGCGAGGGAAACGCTCGAAACATTGGCGAATTGGGTGGTATTTACTAGCGTGGCAGAGATGCCAGCCACAGCATGGAACGCAGCAGATTGAGCAGACATGGCAGGAATTATTGCAGCTGCTAAGCAGCTGGTACTTCAGCAGGATAAAAGTGACCGGCGACGAGACCGCTGGTCCAACGAAATTGGTTATATGTACAGATTCTTGCGACTGTGCCCGTGTCCGATCAGGATCAGCAAGAAAGAAGAGCTGAATTCTGCCTGGTTAGGTACAGAATCTGCCTGAATTCTAACACTCCGGCAACAGTCAGCCTTGCAAGACGACCGGTAAAATGTGCCGTCTAAAATCCAGGCACCCAAGGAACTCGTTGGAATACGGGCGGGCACCTAGGGAGCTCCTCGTGGTTCTAACTTCGATGCGCCAAGTCATTCATGTGGCAGGGCTGGAACCAATCACGTCAAAGTTCTTGGTTAGGTTCCGTGAAAATTTGGAGGGAAACAGCCAGAGGTTGAGCCTTTTGTTGCTAACCTGGCCTTGTTAGTGGCTACTCAGGTGGCCTAGATTGATTGGCCAATCTAACGTAAAGGAATAAACAGAATATTAATATCCAGCGAATACCAGTGCTTGTGCGACAGCATCTGACGCTGCAAGGAGGTGGAATATGCCACGACTGAAGAATAATCGGTCGATAATCACTCTGTCGACGAACAAGATCTTGTCGCCAACTGTTTGAGCTCAGGGCAGGGCCATCATACGGCAGACCGAATCCTGCAGAGCCACGTCACTCGCACGGAATACACTTGACACCACCTCATTGACGAGCATCTCAGTCTTGAGAAACCTGTACGACAGCGCATACGGTAGCTGAATACAAAATCGACAACTCCAGGTATTAGTAACCCATTCAGTGAAATCACAGCACTTATGTACACACAGTAGACTCCATATACTTAGGTGGTGCTCATAAAGGTAACAAAACCAACTACGTAATATATAGAGTTGTTAAATACGCCATATATGGTTGGATGCCTTTGATGGTTGTGGGACCCTTTAAAACGCCTCTTCAAATTTCCCATGTTAAGTATTTTTTATTACATCTCCATTCTCACTGCACATGCCTCCTGTATTATTGCTTATGCACGTCTCATACACGATTACGTGTGCTGTGCCTTTATCTTCTTTATTGTGGCTGGTGCTAATAAGCTATCTTGACTTGCGCCAAAATTCTCTCGCGGCTTGGTAGTCTGGTTGAGCTCGTGCGAACGAACCCCAGGAATTCGCATGCGCACTCATTGCTGCAAAACTGATGTTCACGACAAGTGTAACTGTTCACGAGCTCCACGAAGTTCCTCGCAAGTCGCTTCAAAGGGATGCACAGAACCAGAACTCGACCCATTGATCAAAGGTGGTAACTTCGCTTATCCAGTCAAGATGTGTCCTTTCAAGACACGAGATGCACGTGTCCCCGAGCCGCTCCATTGTGGCTTCGTTCTGTTTGCAGAAGCCTCTACAAGCACACCACCCCGAGCCGCTCCGGTGGTGCTCCGTCCTGCGGCCTGCCCGTGGGAGTGCCCGCGCCGCAATGTGTGTATAAAAGCGGGGCTTGGTAGCCACCATCTTCGAACCATATTCGTTCATCCAGCCAACCCCTTCGTTTTCTTCTGCGCGACAGTTTCCCTCTTTGTTCAACAAGATCCGCACAATGGCTGGTGGATTGCCGTCGCTCCTGCTGCTGCTCCTTGTCACTGCCACATGGCGGACGTCGCATGCCGATGAATACGGGTCGAGCCGATTGAGCAGAGACTTTTACAGAGACTCGTGCCCGTACCTCACGTCGATCGTTCGAGATGTCGTTTTTGACGAGTTTATCAAAGATGAAACCCTCCCTGCACCACTTCTTCGCCTCCATTTCCACGACTGCTTCGTTCAGGTACCACGAACTCCTTCCCGAATCGTATACTCCGCTTGGCTCGCCGGCGTTTCGCATATTGATATTTTTCTTCGCCTATTATCCTGCCTACGCGACGCAGGGTTGCGATGGGTCTGTGCTGATCAACTCGACGTCGGACAATCAGGCGGAGAAAGACGCGCCGCCCAATCTGACGCTCCACGGCTTCGAGATGATCGACAAAATCAAGGAGGCCGTCGAGGCGGAGTGTCCCGGCGTCGTCAGCTGCGCCGACATCGTCGCTCTCGCCGCTCGTGACGGCGTCGTCATGGTAAGCGCCACCGTCACCCTCCGCGCCGGCTGCCCGCCTTTCCGTTACGATAATCTCCAGAAATACTAGATTTTTTGCCGCGTTGCCGCCGATTTTTCCCAATATTTCATCGTGCGCGCATGCCCCGCCCATGCCGTTTCACAAAATGACTCTATCCCCTTTCATGGAATCTTTCATTATTTGGCTCATCGTGTCGGCCAGGCTGGAGGCCCGTACATCGATACGCAGCTTGGACGTCGCGATTCGCGCTCCTCCAGAGCGTCTCGTGCGGAGGCGGCTATGCCCGGTCACCGGATGAACGTGGACGAGCTCCTGAAAAACTTCGCCGCCGTGAACCTCACGCGCCTCGACCTCGTGACGCTCTCCGGCGCGCACACGATCGGCGACGCGCACTGCGGCAGTGTCGAGCACCGGATCGCGCCGAACCACGACTCCACGATGGCAAAATCTTTGCGGGAGAAGCTCAACGACCAGTGCAGAGCCCCCAACGTGGAACCCAGCAAAGAAGTGAACCTCGACTTCAAGACCAAAAACCGATTTGACAACAAGGTGAGCACTTTTTTCTTATCAAACGTAGGCATAGTGAGCACTTGAGAGTCTCAACGCACCACGTTTTACTAGAACGTGGCTTGTGAAGCCAAGGGGTCCCTTTAGATAGTATCTCTCCATTACTACCTGCCACGAGTGATTGTAGTATCTGAGTGGAACTTTGGGGATGTATATACGGGTTAGCCTAGCCGAACCTTCATGAAATTCCTGTACCATCGTTGCTCCTCGCTCGCCCCTCCCTATGCTCTCTCTGCAGTACTACAAGGACCTCCAGGAGAAGTTAGGGCTGCTGTCCAGCGACCAGGTACTGGCGATTGACTCGCGCACTCGCGAGGTCGTGGACCGTTACGCGTCGGACCAGGAGGATTTTTTTCGCGAGTTTCGCCAGTCCATGTTGCGCATGGGCGCGAATAACGTGCTCACTGGCGAAGAGGGGGAGATCCGCCGCGAATGCAGCCGCGTCAACTGATGCATGGCGGGATGGTCGATTAGGAGAGGGAGGAGTAGGCTGTCCTGTCTCTATGAGAGCATGGTTGGTAGGATGGTGGATTGGAGGAGCATGGAGGGGAAAAATGACGCTCTCATAGAAAGGCAGTAGCTTAGAGCGTGGTACGTTATATCCTAATTTGGCTTCGTCCAGATAGGGCTAGGTTGACTTTTAGAAGGATGCACTGACTCTAGGTCCTGACTGGCCTAGCTTGACTAGGCAGTATCTTAGGGATGGATGGCATATCTCGTATGATTTTTATGATGTTGCTGACGACGCAAGGTGTAATATATGACCTTATTCTGTCGGGAAAACCTAAGGGTCCGGTTTGTTAGCATTGCAGAGCTGCTCCTCCAATTGAGAGTTTATTAGATGAGCTTGTTATTGTACGACAAATGGGACGTTGTTTCTAATCAAATTCCTTCCGTGTTATTGGGCCTAACTTTAATGAGGCACCTCTGCTGAAACCTCCTGACGAATCTGCTGGAAAGTTGTCGTTGGGAGCCTTGCGACGGTCGTGAACAGAGCACTCAAATACGAACCCAATTGATGCGAACCTGATATTCGCGACAAAGGTAACACTTCACGAAATTCTACAGTCCACAGAATTCCTCACGAAATCCTTCCAAAGAAAAGCGTTGAACCGAAAATGTTTGACCCCCCTTTTGTTTATCCCGCCGGGATGCGTACGTGGGGAGAAATTCCGCACACGAGGAATCAAGCATCATTTGCACGTGGGGAAACCTTCACACCGTACCGTACCATACTAGAATACATGCACAAAGCCGAGCCGCTCAACCTCTGCTCTGTTCTGTTCTGTTTGCGGAAGTGCCCGCGGCGCTGATTGTGTGGATAAAAGCTGGGCTCGTCATCCCATCCTCAGGCCATTCATTATCCAGCCAAGTCTCATCCTTCACCTTTCCGCGATATCTCACATTTAGGTTTCCCGTTATGGCTCGTGCGTTGCCATTGCTCCTGCTGCTCGTGCTTGTCAACGCCGCATGGCTTACGTCTCATGCACAACGCCCTGGAGGTAGAGGTGGAGGTGGAGGAGGAAGGCAAGGTCCACCTGGAGGTGGAGGTGGAGGCGGCCCACCGCGAGGCGGAGGTGGAGGGGGAGGCGGCCCACCGCGAGGCGGAGGTGGAGGGGGAGGCGGCCCACCCGGAGGCGGAGGCGGAGGCGGAGGTGGCCCACCGGGAGGTGGCGGAGGAGGAGGAGGCAGAGGTGGAGGCAGAGGTGGTCTATTGAGGAGGGACTATTACAGGGACTCGTGCCCGCGCGTCGAGGAGATAGTTCGAGGAATCGTCACTGACGAATATCTCAAAAACAAACTCGTCCCCGCGCCGCTTCTGCGCCTCCACTTCCACGACTGCTTCGTTCAGGTACTACTACGAACTCCGCGGTACACGCATATTCCTCCTGGTACACGCATATTCCTCCTGGTACACGCATTGCGAAGTTTGTGACGTCATTCTCATTTCAAATGGATTCTTGCGACGGTCGCAGGGTTGCGATGGGTCGATCCTGCTCAAATCAACGGCGGGGAATCAAGCGGAGATGGACGCGCCGCCCAACCTGTCGCTCCACGGATACGACATCATCGATCGCATTAAGGAGGCCGTGGAGGCGAAATGCCCGGGCGTCGTCAGCTGCGCCGACATCGTCACTCTCGCCTCTCGCGACGCCGTGAAGTTGGTAAGCGTCTCGGCCTCCTTGTTGGGGAAACTCTAGTGAATGCCCTGCATTGCTCCCGCAAAACGTATCATATCTCCAGCAAATATCATGCGCGTTTTTCCCTCCCGCCGCCGCCCATGCCGCTTTTTACACGTTGAATCGTTCGCGTCCATGGTTGCCTTTGTGTCGCGCGGCGGCAGGCTGGCGGCCCGTTCTGGCCTACCGACCTGGGCCGCCGCGATTCTCGGCGCCTCAAACTCGTCCCTGGTTGCCCTGTGTCCCCCGGCAGGCTGGCGGCCCGTTCTGGCCTGTGGACATGGGTCGCCGCGATTCGCGCACCTCCTCGGCGGCGCTTGCATCGACGTCCATGCCCGGTCACCAGATGAACGTGAACGCGCTTCTGCGAAACTTCGCGGCGGCGAACCTCACGCTCGTGGACCTCGTCACGCTCGCTGGCGCGCACACGATCGGCGACGCGAGCTGCGGCTCCGTCGCGCACCGGCTCGCGCCCAACAGCGACCCGTCGATGGCTCCGCAGTTGCGGGACTACCTTAATGGCCAGTGCAAGGCTCCCAACGTCGACGAGAAGATATTCGTTCTCCTCGATAGCTCCAGCGGCTCTACATTCGATAACCACGTAAGCTGCCCGAACTTTTCTAGCTGCCCGAACTTTTAATTATAGTTCCATAGCTTTTCTTCTTTCTCTCATTCTTCCTTGCCTTTAGCCACTGTGGCGACAATGTGCCCTAGCTTTTGATTCCAATGCACCAACGTCACGCTTTTTCCTCATAGCTAGATGCGTCTTTCCTTTAGTTCAAGATTTCAGTGAATCCTGGCAGAATCGCCATTCATTCTTCCACCATCTCTACCCCTCTCTCGCTCCTTCCTCCCTGTATCTCTCCGCACTGCATTACTTTCAGAGCCTTCAGCGGAAGTTCACAATCCCTACCCCTCCCTCGTTCCTCGTATCTCTCCCCACTACAGTACTTCCAGAACCTTCAGCGGAAGTTCGGGCTGCTGTCGAGCGATCAGGTGCTGGCGATCGACTCGCGCACCAAGCAGCTGGTGAACCGCTACGCTTCGGACAGGGGGGCGTTCTTCCGCCAGTTCAGCCACTCCATGATCCGCATGGGCGAAGCGGGCGTGCTCACTGGCACACAGGGGGAGATTCGCCGCACCTGCAGCGCCGTCAACTAGTAACGGATGGTGGGATGGGTAGATTGGGCGTGGTGGGGTGGTCCATTATCCTTCGGACAGGGGTGCGTTCTTCCGCCAGTTCAGCCAGTTCAGCCAGTTCCGCCAGTGCGCATGGGCGAAGCGGGCGTGCTCACTGGCGCGCGCCGCACTTGCAGCGCTGTCTAACTGATGGATGGCGGGATGGTGGATTGGAAGTGGGAGGAGGGGGAGTAGGCTATTCCTTCTCAATGAGAGTTGCTGGGGTTGGATCGGAGCGGGAGATTGGGGGGTACAGCATGATTGAGAAGGTTGCACTTTTGGGAGGCGGTTGGAGAAAAAGAAGCTCTCATTGAGAGGGTAGTAGCCCACTCCGTGGGGGGTGGTAGGTGGTAGGGTGCCAGTTTGTAGTTTATGTGTACAGTATGGTATGTTGTTGTTATGTTCCTTGCTTGTTGAGGACCCAACTGTACCGTATCATATTTATTACAAACATTGGGAGCTGCTGCTCTGGTTTAGAACTTCTTCCTAGTGCTGAGCACAGTGTAGTGTATACAATTGTGAAGCTGCTTCTTATCTACGGTTAGCTTTACTAGAATTTTGTGCCACGGCCCACAGGCCAATCAGCTTCTACTGTCTCTTTTCCCTAAGCACAGTAGTCCTAAGGTGTGGTCACTCTCAGATCAGATTGTGAACTAAGGTGATGCAAACCCCAGAATGGCACAGAATGGCAGAGGCCAGGGTCAACCCAGCAGGGTGTCACAGAATGTGCTCTCTTGGGATGGAAATAAATAATCTACTGTAGGTACAATAGTACCGTACATGACTGTAAGAATGAGCAAAACAGGTGTAGCTATATTTACTTCTTTCATGCAACAAGGTGTTGTGTTGTTAGTTATAAGCAAATCAGGTTCGGTTGCTTTCCCTCCAAGCCAATGGGCTCTTGTCACGGGCAATTCACTTTGCCCGACAGTTTCCCCCGTCTTATTTCCTCGTGACTCCTGGCTTGCCAAGGCATCGCGCACAGCGGAAGCAGCGACGGCACGGCTGCACGACAGGCGGCTCTGCTGCTGCTCGTGCAGTCTTGAGGCGTCTCAAAAGACTCTCCTACGGGCTTTCCAAAGCCTCGCGCACAGCGGAAGCAGCGATGCCACGGCTGCGCGCCAGGCGGTGGTGGTGGTGCTGCTGCTGCTCGTGCACTCTTGAGGCGCCTCAAAGACCTTCCTACGGGCTATCCAAAGCCTCGCGCACAGCGGAAGCAGCAACGCCACGGCTGCGCGCCAGGCGGTTCTGCTGCTGCTCGTGCACGCCCATGGGCAGGCGCAGGGCAAAGCGCATGTCATGCAGTAGCTGGGGGTAGCTCTCTAACGTGTCGAATAGATCGTCCAGCAGGAGAAGGAGCAACTCACACTCTGTCTTGGCCTGGGGGAGTGGGGATGGGAGGGGCAGAGGAGGGACAGGTTGGGCGCAGGCCAAAGCGCATGTCGTGCAGCAGCTGGGGGGAGCTCTCTAACGTGTCGAATAGATCGTCGAGGAGGAGCAGCAGGAGTTCGCACTCTGTCTTTGCCTGGGCGATGGTCGGGGAGGGGATTGAATGGGGGATGGAGTGGGAGATGGGGGACGGGACATGTGAGTTGACTCAAGTGCAGCAGCTGGGGGGAGCTCACTAGCGTGTCGAATAGATCGTCGAGGAGGAGCAGGAGGAGCTCGCACTCTGTCTTGGCCTGGGGACGAGAGGGGTAAGAACAAGGGGCAGTGGACATGTGATGTGAGTTGGCTGAGAAGTCAGCAGCTGGGGGTAGCTCTCTAGAGTGTCGAATAGGTCGTCCAGGAGGAGAAGGAGCAGCTCGCACTCTGTCTTGGCCTGGGGGAGAGAGGGACAGGGGCAGAGTACATATGTATTGACTCAACAGCAGCAGCTGGGGGTAGCTCTCTAGCGTGTCAAATAGGTCCTCACAACCCCATCTCACTCCTCCCAACACCTTCCCCCTCTGCCTCACCTGAAACGTGGCCTCAACACAGATCAAAGCAACCCTCTGTTTTTCCCATGCCTCCTCCATGCGCGTTTCAAACGCCTCTAGAAGCGCCTCCATCCCCATCACAAACCCATCTCCCTCTCCCCCCAATCCTTCCCCTCCTTCCTCCCTTCCCCCTTTAGAATCTCCCCTTTCCTCTCACCTGAAACGTGGCTTCAACACAGATAAGAGCGACCCTCTGCTTTGGCCATTCCTCCTCCTCCATGCGCGTTTCAAACGCCTCTAACAACCCTCCATGCCCATCACAAACCCCTCTCACTCCCCCTCACAGCCCCCCTTCCCCGCTTCCCCTATTCCCTTCCTGCCTCACCTGAAACGTGGCTTCAACGCAGATCAAAGCAACTCTCTGTTTTTCCCATTCCTCCTCGTCCATGCGCGTTTCAAACGCCTCTAACAACCCCTCCATGCCCATCACAAACCCCTCTCACTCCCCCTCACAGCCCCCCTTCCCCGCTTCCCCTATTCCCTTCCTGCCTCACCTGAAACGTGGCTTCAACGCAGATCAAAGCAACTCTCTGTTTTTCCCATTCCTCCTCGTCCATGCGCGTTTCAAACGCCTCTAACAACCCCTCCATGCCCATCACAAACCCGGTCCCCACCGCCCTATGCTCGAGCTCCACCTTCCCTCCCCCTTGCTCCAACACCATTTCCAGGGGGTTCCTCGGGGCCTCTGCTGCTCCTGCTGCCATTGCTGCCGCCGCTGCCAGCGCGAGGGGGGTTGCGTGGGAACCTGAGGCGATTGCGGGGATAATCCCTGGGGCCAATCGGATGGAGAGCTGGCGCGAGTGAGAGAGGAGGCGGCGCATTCGGCGTTGCGAGTCGGAGCGGAGGAGAGAGGCCGAGCGATTCACAGGAACGAAGGGGTGCTGCTGGGACGGGGGGGGGGGGTGGGGGGGGGGGGACGGAGAGAAGGAAGAAGTGTGCTGAAAAAAAAGGGGAGTCGGAGGGGGGGGGAAGGGGGCGGGGGAGGGGGAGAGGGGGGGAGGAAGGGAAGCAAGTGTTGTGCTAAAAAAGGTAAGGAGGGACAGTTGGCGGGAGTGGGAGAGGCGGTGGCGTTGCGAGTTGGAGCGGAGGAGAGAGGCAGAGCGATTGACAGGCACGGAGGGGTGCTGCTGGGAGGGAAGAGGGGGGAAAGGGGGGGGGAAGGGGGGGGGGGAAGGGAGGGAAGTGAGAGTTGTGCTGAAGGGAGGTAAGGAGGGAGAGCTGGGGCGAGTGTGACAGGCGGCGGTGCAATCGGCGCTGGGAATCGGAGAGGAGGAGAGAGGCAGAGCGATTTATAGGCACGAAGGGGTGCTGCTGGGACGAGGGGGGAGAGGGGGGGGGATGGAGAGAAGGAAGAAGCGTGCTGAAAAAAAGGGGAGCCGGAGCGGAGGAGAGAGGCAGAGCGATTCATAGGGAGGAAGGGGTGGTGCTGGGACGAGGGGGGAGAGGGGGGGGGGAGGAAGGGGGGGAAGTGGGAGTTGTGCTGAAGTGAGGTAAGGAGGGAGAGCTGGCGCGAGTGGGAGAGGCGACAGCACATTCGGTGCTGCGAGTCGGAGCGGAGGAGAGAGGCAGAGCGATTCATCGGGAGGAAGGGGTGGTGCTGCTGGGAGGGAGGGAGGAAAGGAGGGAGGGAAGGAAGAGTTGTTTTGAAAGGAATAAGTAGTGGGGGTGGAGCGGAGGAGAGAGGCAGAGGGGCTGGCAGGGACAAAGGGAGGAGAGGAGGGAGGAGCGAGGGAGGGAGGGAGGGAGCATTTTGGTGTGGCAGAGAAGTGAGTGTGGTGCACTTTGTCTAGACGGGGCTTTATAAACGGAAGGAAGCAAACCTACTTTATTCCAGATAGGCAGAGAAGAGAGAGAGAGCGGTGGTCATTACCACTTCTCCTCCCGACTCTGACTCGAGGTTCTCCTCTTCCATCACCACACCTCCACTCCTTTCTCCCCCTCCTCCTCCCCCTCCTCCTCCCCCTCCTCCTCCCCCTCCTCCTCTACTTCCTCCCCCTCCTCCCCCCCCTCTCCACCCACCACCGAACTCTTCCCCAACCTCCTCCTCGCCCCCCCACCTCTCCCCCACCTCCCCCTTCCCCTCCTTGCTCGCCTCCCCCTCCTCCTCCTCCGCAATCTCCCCCATTCCACCCCCCTCCTCCCGGACCTCCGCCTTCCCCTCCTCCTCCTCCTCAGGAGTCTTAATCCACGTGGCATCAGCAGTGCCGGCGCGCAGGACGTAGAGGTGCCGGCTCACCTCCCCTTCCGCACAGATGAACTCGCCTGCTGCTACTCGCCGCAACACCAGCGCCCCCAGCAGCTTCGCGATAAAGGCATGGCTGTGTGGGAGTATGGGGCTGGGGAATGGGAGGGGGGGGGGGAAGGAGGGAGGGAAGGAAGGGGGGGGAGGGAGAGAGGGATGTAGAGGTGGCGGCTCACCTCCCCTTCCGCACAGATGAACTCGCCTGTCCCACGTACCTCACTGCACCGCATTGCCCCACGTACCTCACTGCACCGCATTGCCCCACGTACCTCACTGCACCGCATTGCCCCACGTACCTCACTGCACCGCATTGCCCCACGTACCTCACTGCACCGCATTGCCCCACGTACCTCACTGCGCCGCATTGCCCCACGTACCTCACTGCACCGCATTGCCCCACGTACCTCACTGCACCGCATTGCCCCACGTACCTCACTGCGCCGCATTGCCCCACGTACCTCACTGCGCCGCATTGCCCCACGTACCTCACTGCACCGCATTGCCCCACGTACCTCACTGCACCGCATTGCCCCACGTACCTCACTGCACCGCATTGCCCCACGTACCTCACTGCACCGCATTGCCCCACGTACCTCACTGCACCGCATTGCCCCACGTACCTCACTGCACCGCATTGCCCCACGTACCTCACTGCACCGCATTGCCCCACGTACCTCACTGCACCGCATTGCCCCACGTACCTCACTGCACCGCATTGCCCCACGTACCTCACTGCACCGCATTGCCCCACGTACCTCACTGCACCGCATTGCCCCACGTACCTCACTGCACCGCATTGCCCCACGTACCTCACTGCACCGCATTGCCCCACGTACCTCACTGCACCGCATTGCCCCACGTACCTCACTGCACCGCATTGCCCCACGTACCTCACTGCACCGCATTGCCCCACGTACCTCACTGCACCGCATTGCCCCACGTACCTCACTGCACCGCATTGCCCCACGTACCTCACTGCACCGCATTGCCCCACGTACCTCACTGCACCGCATTGCCCCACGTACCTCACTGCACCGCATTGCCCCACGTACCTCACTGCACCGCATTGCCCCACGTACCTCACTGCACCGCATTGCCCCACGTACCTCACTGCACCGCATTGCCCCACGTACCTCACTGCACCGCATTGCCCCACGTACCTCACTGCACCGCATTGCCCCACGTACCTCACTGCACCGCATTGCCCCACGTACCTCACTGCACCGCATTGCCCCACGTACCTCACTGCACCGCATTGCCCCACGTACCTCACTGCACCGCATTGCCCCACGTACCTCACTGCACCGCATTGCCCCACGTACCTCACTGCACCGCATTGCCCCACGTACCTCACTGCACCGCATTGCCCCACGTACCTCACTGCACCGCATTGCCCCACGTACCTCACTGCACCGCATTGCCCCACGTACCTCACTGCACCGCATTGCCCCACGTACCTCACTGCACCGCATTGCCCCACGTACCTCACTGCACCGCATTGCCCCACGTACCTCACTGCACCGCATTGCCCCACGTACCTCACTGCACCGCATTGCCCCACGTACCTCACTGCACCGCATTGCCCCACGTACCTCACTGCACCGCATTGCCCCACGTACCTCACTGCACCGCATTGCCCCACGTACCTCACTGCACCGCATTGCCCCACGTACCTCACTGCACCGCATTGCCCCACGTACCTCACTGCACCGCATTGCCCCACGTACCTCACTGCACCGCATTGCCCCACGTACCTCACTGCACCGCATTGCCCCACGTACCTCACTGCACCGCATTGCCCCACGTACCTCACTGCACCGCATTGCCCCACGTACCTCACTGCACCGCATTGCCCCACGTACCTCACTGCACCGCATTGCCCCACGTACCTCACTGCACCGCATTGCCCCACGTACCTCACTGCACCGCATTGCCCCACGTACCTCACTGCACCGCATTGCCCCACGTACCTCACTGCACCGCATTGCCCCACGTACCTCACTGCACCGCATTGCCCCACGTACCTCACTGCACCGCATTGCCCCACGTACCTCACTGCACCGCATTGCCCCACGTACCTCACTGCACCGCATTGCCCCACGTACCTCACTGCACCGCATTGCCCCACGTACCTCACTGCACCGCATTGCCCCACGTACCTCACTGCACCGCATTGCCCCACGTACCTCACTGCACCGCATTGCCCCACGTACCTCACTGCACCGCATTGCCCCACGTACCTCACTGCACCGCATTGCCCCACGTACCTCACTGCACCGCATTGCCCCACGTACCTCACTGCACCGCATTGCCCCACGTACCTCACTGCACCGCATTGCCCCACGTACCTCACTGCACCGCATTGCCCCACGTACCTCACTGCACCGCATTGCCCCACGTACCTCACTGCACCGCATTGCCCCACGTACCTCACTGCACCGCATTGCCCCACGTACCTCACTGCGCCGCATTGCCCCACGTACCTCACTGCGCCGCATTGCCCCACGTACCTCACTGCACCGCATTGCCCCACGTACCTCACTGCACCGCATTGCCCCACGTACCTCACTGCACCGCATTGCCCCACGTACCTCACTGCACCGCATTGCCCCACGTACCTCACTGCACCGCATTGCCCCACGTACCTCACTGCACCGCATTGCCCCACGTACCTCACTGCACCGCATTGCCCCACGTACCTCACTGCACCGCATTGCCCCACGTACCTCACTGCACCGCATTGCCCCACGTACCTCACTGCACCGCATTGCCCCACGTACCTCACTGCACCGCATTGCCCCACGTACCTCACTGCACCGCATTGCCCCACGTACCTCACTGCACCGCATTGCCCCACGTACCTCACTGCACCGCATTGCCCCACGTACCTCACTGCACCGCATTGCCCCACGTACCTCACTGCGCCGCATTGCCCCACGTACCTCACTGCGCCGCATTGCCCCACGTACCTCACTGCGCCGCATTGCCCCACGTACCTCACTGCACCGCATTGCCCCACGTACCTCACTGCACCGCATTGCCCCACGTACCTCACTGCACCGCATTGCCCCACGTACCTCACTGCGCCGCATTGCCCCACGTACCTCACTGCGCCGCATTGCCCCACGTACCTCACTGCACCGCATTGCCCCACGTACCTCACTGCACCGCATTGCCCCACGTACCTCACTGCACCGCATTGCCCCACGTACCTCACTGCACCGCATTGCCCCACGTGGCCTCACTGCACCGCATTGCCCCACGTACCTCACTGCACCGCATTGCCCCACGTACCTCACTGCACCGCATTGCCCCACGTACCTCACTGCACCGCATTGCCCCACGTACCTCACTGCACCGCATTGCCCCACGTACCTCACTGCACCGCATTGCCCCACGTACCTCACTGCACCGCATTGCCCCACGTACCTCACTGCACCGCATTGCCCCACGTACCTCACTGCACCGCATTGCCCCACGTACCTCACTGCACCGCATTGCCCCACGTACCTCACTGCACCGCATTGCCCCACGTACCTCACTGCACCGCATTGCCCCACGTACCTCACTGCACCGCATTGCCCCACGTACCTCACTGCACCGCATTGCCCCACGTACCTCACTGCACCGCATTGCCCCACGTACCTCACTGCACCGCATTGCCCCACGTACCTCACTGCACCGCATTGCCCCACGTACCTCACTGCACCGCATTGCCCCACGTACCTCACTGCACCGCATTGCCCCACGTACCTCACTGCACCGCATTGCCCCACGTACCTCACTGCACCGCATTGCCCCACGTACCTCACTGCACCGCATTGCCCCACGTACCTCACTGCACCGCATTGCCCCACGTACCTCACTGCACCGCATTGCCCCACGTACCTCACTGCACCGCATTGCCCCACGTACCTCACTGCACCGCATTGCCCCACGTACCTCACTGCACCGCATTGCCCCACGTACCTCACTGCACCGCATTGCCCCACGTACCTCACTGCACCGCATTGCCCCACGTACCTCACTGCACCGCATTGCCCCACGTACCTCACTGCACCGCATTGCCCCACGTACCTCACTGCACCGCATTGCCCCACGTACCTCACTGCACCGCATTGCCCCACGTACCTCACTGCACCGCATTGCCCCACGTACCTCACTGCACCGCATTGCCCCACGTACCTCACTGCACCGCATTGCCCCACGTACCTCACTGCACCGCATTGCCCCACGTACCTCACTGCACCGCATTGCCCCACGTACCTCACTGCACCGCATTGCCCCACGTACCTCACTGCACCGCATTGCCCCACGTACCTCACTGCACCGCATTGCCCCACGTACCTCACTGCACCGCATTGCCCCACGTACCTCACTGCACCGCATTGCCCCACGTACCTCACTGCACCGCATTGCCCCACGTACCTCACTGCACCGCATTGCCCCACGTACCTCACTGCACCGCATTGCCCCACGTACCTCACTGCACCGCATTGCCCCACGTACCTCACTGCACCGCATTGCCCCACGTACCTCACTGCACCGCATTGCCCCACGTACCTCACTGCACCGCATTGCCCCACGTACCTCACTGCACCGCATTGCCCCACGTACCTCACTGCACCGCATTGCCCCACGTACCTCACTGCACCGCATTGCCCCACGTACCTCACTGCACCGCATTGCCCCACGTACCTCACTGCACCGCATTGCCCCACGTACCTCACTGCACCGCATTGCCCCACGTACCTCACTGCACCGCATTGCCCCACGTACCTCACTGCACCGCATTGCCCCACGTACCTCACTGCACCGCATTGCCCCACGTACCTCACTGCACCGCATTGCCCCACGTACCTCACTGCACCGCATTGCCCCACGTACCTCACTGCACCGCATTGCCCCACGTACCTCACTGCACCGCATTGCCCCACGTACCTCACTGCACCGCATTGCCCCACGTACCTCACTGCACCGCATTGCCCCACGTACCTCACTGCACCCGCATTGCCCCACGTACCTCACTGCACCGCATTGCCCCACGTACCTCACTGCACCGCATTGCCCCACGTACCTCACTGCACCGCATTGCCCCACGTACCTCACTGCACCGCATTGCCCCACGTACCTCACTGCACCGCATTGCCCCACGTACCTCACTGCACCGCATTGCCCCACGTACCTCACTGCACCGCATTGCCCCACGTACCTCACTGCACCGCATTGCCCCACGTACCTCACTGCACCGCATTGCCCCACGTACCTCACTGCACCGCATTGCCCCACGTACCTCACTGCACCGCATTGCCCCACGTACCTCACTGCACCGCATTGCCCCACGTACCTCACTGCACCGCATTGCCCCACGTACCTCACTGCAGCCGCATTGCCCCACGTACCTCACTGCGCCGCATTGCCCCACGTACCTCACTGCGCCGCATTGCCCCACGTACCTCACTGCACCGCATTGCCCCACGTACCTCACTGCACCGCATTGCCCCACGTACCTCACTGCACCGCATTGCCCCACGTACCTCACTGCACCGCATTGCCCCACGTACCTCACTGCACCGCATTGCCCCACGTACCTCACTGCACCGCATTGCCCCACGTACCTCACTGCACCGCATTGCCCCACGTACCTCACTGCACCGCATTGCCCCACGTACCTCACTGCACCGCATTGCCCCACGTACCTCACTGCACCGCATTGCCCCACGTACCTCACTGCACCGCATTGCCCCACGTACCTCACTGCACCGCATTGCCCCACGTACCTCACTGCACCGCATTGCCCCACGTACCTCACTGCACCGCATTGCCCCACGTACCTCACTGCACCGCATTGCCCCACGTACCTCACTGCACCGCATTGCCCCACGTACCTCACTGCACCGCATTGCCCCACGTACCTCACTGCACCGCATTGCCCCACGTACCTCACTGCACCGCATTGCCCCACGTACCTCACTGCACCGCATTGCCCCACGTACCTCACTGCACCGCATTGCCCCACGTACCTCACTGCACCGCATTGCCCCACGTACCTCACTGCACCGCATTGCCCCACGTACCTCACTGCACCGCATTGCCCCACGTACCTCACTGCACCGCATTGCCCCACGTACCTCACTGCACCGCATTGCCCCACGTACCTCACTGCACCGCATTGCCCCACGTACCTCACTGCACCGCATTGCCCCACGTACCTCACTGCACCGCATTGCCCCACGTACCTCACTGCACCGCATTGCCCCACGTACCTCACTGCACCGCATTGCCCCACGTACCTCACTGCACCGCATTGCCCCACGTACCTCACTGCACCGCATTGCCCCACGTACCTCACTGCACCGCATTGCCCCACGTACCTCACTGCACCGCATTGCCCCACGTACCTCACTGCACCGCATTGCCCCACGTACCTCACTGCACCGCATTGCCCCACGTACCTCACTGCACCGCATTGCCCCACGTACCTCACTGCACCGCATTGCCCCACGTACCTCACTGCACCGCATTGCCCCACGTACCTCACTGCACCGCATTGCCCCACGTACCTCACTGCACCGCATTGCCCCACGTACCTCACTGCACCGCATTGCCCCACGTACCTCACTGCACCGCATTGCCCCACGTACCTCACTGCACCGCATTGCCCCACGTACCTCACTGCACCGCATTGCCCCACGTACCTCACTGCACCGCATTGCCCCACGTACCTCACTGCACCGCATTGCCCCACGTACCTCACTGCACCGCATTGCCCCACGTACCTCACTGCACCGCATTGCCCCACGTACCTCACTGCACCGCATTGCCCCACGTACCTCACTGCACCGCATTGCCCCACGTACCTCACTGCACCGCATTGCCCCACGTACCTCACTGCACCGCATTGCCCCACGTACCTCACTGCACCGCATTGCCCCACGTACCTCACTGCACCGCATTGCCCCACGTACCTCACTGCACCGCATTGCCCCACGTACCTCACTGCACCGCATTGCCCCACGTACCTCACTGCACCGCATTGCCCCACGTACCTCACTGCACCGCATTGCCCCACGTACCTCACTGCACCGCATTGCCCCACGTACCTCACTGCACCGCATTGCCCCACGTACCTCACTGCACCGCATTGCCCCACGTACCTCACTGCACCGCATTGCCCCACGTACCTCACTGCACCGCATTGCCCCACGTACCTCACTGCACCGCATTGCCCCACGTACCTCACTGCACCGCATTGCCCCACGTACCTCACTGCACCGCATTGCCCCACGTACCTCACTGCACCGCATTGCCCCACGTACCTCACTGCACCGCATTGCCCCACGTACCTCACTGCACCGCATTGCCCCACGTACCTCACTGCACCGCATTGCCCCACGTACCTCACTGCACCGCATTGCCCCACGTACCTCACTGCACCGCATTGCCCCACGTACCTCACTGCACCGCATTGCCCCACGTACCTCACTGCACCGCATTGCCCCACGTACCTCACTGCACCGCATTGCCCCACGTACCTCACTGCACCGCATTGCCCCACGTACCTCACTGCACCGCATTGCCCCACGTACCTCACTGCACCGCATTGCCCCACGTACCTCACTGCACCGCATTGCCCCACGTACCTCACTGCACCGCATTGCCCCACGTACCTCACTGCACCGCATTGCCCCACGTACCTCACTGCACCGCATTGCCCCACGTACCTCACTGCACCGCATTGCCCCACGTACCTCACTGCACCGCATTGCCCCACGTACCTCACTGCACCGCATTGCCCCACGTACCTCACTGCACCGCATTGCCCCACGTACCTCACTGCACCGCATTGCCCCACGTACCTCACTGCACCGCATTGCCCCACGTACCTCACTGCACCGCATTGCCCCACGTACCTCACTGCACCGCATTGCCCCACGTACCTCACTGCACCGCATTGCCCCACGTACCTCACTGCACCGCATTGCCCCACGTACCTCACTGCACCGCATTGCCCCACGTACCTCACTGCACCGCATTGCCCCACGTACCTCACTGCACCGCATTGCCCCACGTACCTCACTGCACCGCATTGCCCCACGTACCTCACTGCACCGCATTGCCCCACGTACCTCACTGCACCGCATTGCCCCACGTACCTCACTGCACCGCATTGCCCCACGTACCTCACTGCACCGCATTGCCCCACGTACCTCACTGCACCGCATTGCCCCACGTACCTCACTGCACCGCATTGCCCCACGTACCTCACTGCACCGCATTGCCCCACGTACCTCACTGCACCGCATTGCCCCACGTACCTCACTGCACCGCATTGCCCCACGTACCTCACTGCACCGCATTGCCCCACGTACCTCACTGCACCGCATTGCCCCACGTACCTCACTGCACCGCATTGCCCCACGTACCTCACTGCACCGCATTGCCCCACGTACCTCACTGCACCGCATTGCCCCACGTACCTCACTGCACCGCATTGCCCCACGTACCTCACTGCACCGCATTGCCCCACGTACCTCACTGCACCGCATTGCCCCACGTACCTCACTGCACCGCATTGCCCCACGTACCTCACTGCACCGCATTGCCCCACGTACCTCACTGCACCGCATTGCCCCACGTACCTCACTGCACCGCATTGCCCCACGTACCTCACTGCACCGCATTGCCCCACGTACCTCACTGCACCGCATTGCCCCACGTACCTCACTGCACCGCATTGCCCCACGTACCTCACTGCACCGCATTGCCCCACGTACCTCACTGCACCGCATTGCCCCACGTACCTCACTGCACCGCATTGCCCCACGTACCTCACTGCACCGCATTGCCCCACGTACCTCACTGCACCGCATTGCCCCACGTACCTCACTGCACCGCATTGCCCCACGTACCTCACTGCACCGCATTGCCCCACGTACCTCACTGCACCGCATTGCCCCACGTACCTCACTGCACCGCATTGCCCCACGTACCTCACTGCACCGCATTGCCCCACGTACCTCACTGCACCGCATTGCCCCACGTACCTCACTGCACCGCATTGCCCCACGTACCTCACTGCACCGCATTGCCCCACGTACCTCACTGCACCGCATTGCCCCACGTACCTCACTGCACCGCATTGCCCCACGTACCTCACTGCACCGCATTGCCCCACGTACCTCACTGCACCGCATTGCCCCACGTACCTCACTGCACCGCATTGCCCCACGTACCTCACTGCACCGCATTGCCCCACGTACCTCACTGCACCGCATTGCCCCACGTACCTCACTGCACCGCATTGCCCCACGTACCTCACTGCACCGCATTGCCCCACGTACCTCACTGCACCGCATTGCCCCACGTACCTCACTGCACCGCATTGCCCCACGTACCTCACTGCACCGCATTGCCCCACGTACCTCACTGCACCGCATTGCCCCACGTACCTCACTGCACCGCATTGCCCCACGTACCTCACTGCACCGCATTGCCCCACGTACCTCACTGCACCGCATTGCCCCACGTACCTCACTGCACCGCATTGCCCCACGTACCTCACTGCACCGCATTGCCCCACGTACCTCACTGCACCGCATTGCCCCACGTACCTCACTGCACCGCATTGCCCCACGTACCTCACTGCACCGCATTGCCCCACGTACCTCACTGCACCGCATTGCCCCACGTACCTCACTGCACCGCATTGCCCCACGTACCTCACTGCACCGCATTGCCCCACGTACCTCACTGCACCGCATTGCCCCACGTACCTCACTGCACCGCATTGCCCCACGTACCTCACTGCACCGCATTGCCCCACGTACCTCACTGCACCGCATTGCCCCACGTACCTCACTGCACCGCATTGCCCCACGTACCTCACTGCACCGCATTGCCCCACGTACCTCACTGCACCGCATTGCCCCACGTACCTCACTGCACCGCATTGCCCCACGTACCTCACTGCACCGCATTGCCCCACGTACCTCACTGCACCGCATTGCCCCACGTACCTCACTGCACCGCATTGCCCCACGTACCTCACTGCACCGCATTGCCCCACGTACCTCACTGCACCGCATTGCCCCACGTACCTCACTGCACCGCATTGCCCCACGTACCTCACTGCACCGCATTGCCCCACGTACCTCACTGCACCGCATTGCCCCACGTACCTCACTGCACCGCATTGCCCCACGTACCTCACTGCACCGCATTGCCCCACGTACCTCACTGCACCGCATTGCCCCACGTACCTCACTGCACCGCATTGCCCCACGTACCTCACTGCACCGCATTGCCCCACGTACCTCACTGCACCGCATTGCCCCACGTACCTCACTGCACCGCATTGCCCCACGTACCTCACTGCACCGCATTGCCCCACGTACCTCACTGCACCGCATTGCCCCACGTACCTCACTGCACCGCATTGCCCCACGTACCTCACTGCACCGCATTGCCCCACGTACCTCACTGCACCGCATTGCCCCACGTACCTCACTGCACCGCATTGCCCCACGTACCTCACTGCACCGCATTGCCCCACGTACCTCACTGCACCGCATTGCCCCACGTACCTCACTGCACCGCATTGCCCCACGTACCTCACTGCACCGCATTGCCCCACGTACCTCACTGCACCGCATTGCCCCACGTACCTCACTGCACCGCATTGCCCCACGTACCTCACTGCACCGCATTGCCCCACGTACCTCACTGCACCGCATTGCCCCACGTACCTCACTGCACCGCATTGCCCCACGTACCTCACTGCACCGCATTGCCCCACGTACCTCACTGCACCGCATTGCCCCACGTACCTCACTGCACCGCATTGCCCCACGTACCTCACTGCACCGCATTGCCCCACGTACCTCACTGCACCGCATTGCCCCACGTACCTCACTGCACCGCATTGCCCCACGTACCTCACTGCACCGCATTGCCCCACGTACCTCACTGCACCGCATTGCCCCACGTACCTCACTGCACCGCATTGCCCCACGTACCTCACTGCACCGCATTGCCCCACGTACCTCACTGCACCGCATTGCCCCACGTACCTCACTGCACCGCATTGCCCCACGTACCTCACTGCACCGCATTGCCCCACGTACCTCACTGCACCGCATTGCCCCACGTACCTCACTGCACCGCATTGCCCCACGTACCTCACTGCACCGCATTGCCCCACGTACCTCACTGCACCGCATTGCCCCACGTACCTCACTGCACCGCATTGCCCCACGTACCTCACTGCACCGCATTGCCCCACGTACCTCACTGCACCGCATTGCCCCACGTACCTCACTGCACCGCATTGCCCCACGTACCTCACTGCACCGCATTGCCCCACGTACCTCACTGCACCGCATTGCCCCACGTACCTCACTGCACCGCATTGCCCCACGTACCTCACTGCACCGCATTGCCCCACGTACCTCACTGCACCGCATTGCCCCACGTACCTCACTGCACCGCATTGCCCCACGTACCTCACTGCACCGCATTGCCCCACGTACCTCACTGCACCGCATTGCCCCACGTACCTCACTGCACCGCATTGCCCCACGTACCTCACTGCACCGCATTGCCCCACGTACCTCACTGCACCGCATTGCCCCACGTACCTCACTGCACCGCATTGCCCCACGTACCTCACTGCACCGCATTGCCCCACGTACCTCACTGCACCGCATTGCCCCACGTACCTCACTGCACCGCATTGCCCCACGTACCTCACTGCACCGCATTGCCCCACGTACCTCACTGCACCGCATTGCCCCACGTACCTCACTGCACCGCATTGCCCCACGTACCTCACTGCACCGCATTGCCCCACGTACCTCACTGCACCGCATTGCCCCACGTACCTCACTGCACCGCATTGCCCCACGTACCTCACTGCACCGCATTGCCCCACGTACCTCACTGCACCGCATTGCCCCACGTACCTCACTGCACCGCATTGCCCCACGTACCTCACTGCACCGCATTGCCCCACGTACCTCACTGCACCGCATTGCCCCACGTACCTCACTGCACCGCATTGCCCCACGTACCTCACTGCACCGCATTGCCCCACGTACCTCACTGCACCGCATTGCCCCACGTACCTCACTGCACCGCATTGCCCCACGTACCTCACTGCACCGCATTGCCCCACGTACCTCACTGCACCGCATTGCCCCACGTACCTCACTGCACCGCATTGCCCCACGTACCTCACTGCACCGCATTGCCCCACGTACCTCACTGCACCGCATTGCCCCACGTACCTCACTGCACCGCATTGCCCCACGTACCTCACTGCACCGCATTGCCCCACGTACCTCACTGCACCGCATTGCCCCACGTACCTCACTGCACCGCATTGCCCCACGTACCTCACTGCACCGCATTGCCCCACGTACCTCACTGCACCGCATTGCCCCACGTACCTCACTGCACCGCATTGCCCCACGTACCTCACTGCACCGCATTGCCCCACGTACCTCACTGCACCGCATTGCCCCACGTACCTCACTGCACCGCATTGCCCCACGTACCTCACTGCACCGCATTGCCCCACGTACCTCACTGCACCGCATTGCCCCACGTACCTCACTGCACCGCATTGCCCCACGTACCTCACTGCACCGCATTGCCCCACGTACCTCACTGCACCGCATTGCCCCACGTACCTCACTGCACCGCATTGCCCCACGTACCTCACTGCACCGCATTGCCCCACGTACCTCACTGCACCGCATTGCCCCACGTACCTCACTGCACCGCATTGCCCCACGTACCTCACTGCACCGCATTGCCCCACGTACCTCACTGCACCGCATTGCCCCACGTACCTCACTGCACCGCATTGCCCCACGTACCTCACTGCACCGCATTGCCCCACGTACCTCACTGCACCGCATTGCCCCACGTACCTCACTGCACCGCATTGCCCCACGTACCTCACTGCACCGCATTGCCCCACGTACCTCACTGCACCGCATTGCCCCACGTACCTCACTGCACCGCATTGCCCCACGTACCTCACTGCACCGCATTGCCCCACGTACCTCACTGCACCGCATTGCCCCACGTACCTCACTGCACCGCATTGCCCCACGTACCTCACTGCACCGCATTGCCCCACGTACCTCACTGCACCGCATTGCCCCACGTACCTCACTGCACCGCATTGCCCCACGTACCTCACTGCACCGCATTGCCCCACGTACCTCACTGCACCGCATTGCCCCACGTACCTCACTGCACCGCATTGCCCCACGTACCTCACTGCACCGCATTGCCCCACGTACCTCACTGCACCGCATTGCCCCACGTACCTCACTGCACCGCATTGCCCCACGTACCTCACTGCACCGCATTGCCCCACGTACCTCACTGCACCGCATTGCCCCACGTACCTCACTGCACCGCATTGCCCCACGTACCTCACTGCACCGCATTGCCCCACGTACCTCACTGCACCGCATTGCCCCACGTACCTCACTGCACCGCATTGCCCCACGTACCTCACTGCACCGCATTGCCCCACGTACCTCACTGCACCGCATTGCCCCACGTACCTCACTGCACCGCATTGCCCCACGTACCTCACTGCACCGCATTGCCCCACGTACCTCACTGCACCGCATTGCCCCACGTACCTCACTGCACCGCATTGCCCCACGTACCTCACTGCACCGCATTGCCCCACGTACCTCACTGCACCGCATTGCCCCACGTACCTCACTGCACCGCATTGCCCCACGTACCTCACTGCACCGCATTGCCCCACGTACCTCACTGCACCGCATTTGCCCCACGTACCTCACTGCACCGCATTGCCCCACGTACCTCACTGCACCGCATTGCCCCACGTACCTCACTGCACCGCATTGCCCCACGTACCTCACTGCACCGCATTGCCCCACGTACCTCACTGCACCGCATTGCCCCACGTACCTCACTGCACCGCATTGCCCCACGTACCTCACTGCACCGCATTGCCCCACGTACCTCACTGCACCGCATTGCCCCACGTACCTCACTGCACCGCATTGCCCCACGTACCTCACTGCACCGCATTGCCCCACGTACCTCACTGCACCGCATTGCCCCACGTACCTCACTGCACCGCATTGCCCCACGTACCTCACTGCACCGCATTGCCCCACGTACCTCACTGCACCGCATTGCCCCACGTACCTCACTGCACCGCATTGCCCCACGTACCTCACTGCACCGCATTGCCCCACGTACCTCACTGCACCGCATTGCCCCACGTACCTCACTGCACCGCATTGCCCCACGTACCTCACTGCACCGCATTGCCCCACGTACCTCACTGCACCGCATTGCCCCACGTACCTCACTGCACCGCATTGCCCCACGTACCTCACTGCACCGCATTGCCCCACGTACCTCACTGCACCGCATTGCCCCACGTACCTCACTGCACCGCATTGCCCCACGTACCTCACTGCACCGCATTGCCCCACGTACCTCACTGCACCGCATTGCCCCACGTACCTCACTGCACCGCATTGCCCCACGTACCTCACTGCACCGCATTGCCCCACGTACCTCACTGCACCGCATTGCCCCACGTACCTCACTGCACCGCATTGCCCCACGTACCTCACTGCACCGCATTGCCCCACGTACCTCACTGCACCGCATTGCCCCACGTACCTCACTGCACCGCATTGCCCCACGTACCTCACTGCACCGCATTGCCCCACGTACCTCACTGCACCGCATTGCCCCACGTACCTCACTGCACCGCATTGCCCCACGTACCTCACTGCACCGCATTGCCCCACGTACCTCACTGCACCGCATTGCCCCACGTACCTCACTGCACCGCATTGCCCCACGTACCTCACTGCACCGCATTGCCCCACGTACCTCACTGCACCGCATTGCCCCACGTACCTCACTGCACCGCATTGCCCCACGTACCTCACTGCACCGCATTGCCCCACGTACCTCACTGCACCGCATTGCCCCACGTACCTCACTGCACCGCATTGCCCCACGTACCTCACTGCACCGCATTGCCCCACGTACCTCACTGCACCGCATTGCCCCACGTACCTCACTGCACCGCATTGCCCCACGTACCTCACTGCACCGCATTGCCCCACGTACCTCACTGCACCGCATTGCCCCACGTACCTCACTGCACCGCATTGCCCCACGTAACCGCATTGCCCCACGTACCTCACTGCACCGCATTGCCCCACGTACCTCACTGCACCGCATTGCCCCACGTACCTCACTGCACCGCATTGCCCCACGTACCTCACTGCACCGCATTGCCCCACGTACCTCACTGCACCGCATTGCCCCACGTACCTCACTGCACCGCATTGCCCCACGTACCTCACTGCACCGCATTGCCCCACGTACCTCACTGCACCGCATTGCCCCACGTACCTCACTGCACCGCATTGCCCCACGTACCTCACTGCACCGCATTGCCCCACGTACCTCACTGCACCGCATTGCCCCACGTACCTCACTGCACCGCATTGCCCCACGTACCTCACTGCACCGCATTGCCCCACGTACCTCACTGCACCGCATTGCCCCACGTACCTCACTGCACCGCATTGCCCCACGTACCTCACTGCACCGCATTGCCCCACGTACCTCACTGCCCGCATTGCCCCACGTACCTCACGGCACCGCATTGCCCCACGTACCTCACTGCACCGCATTGCCCCACGTACCTCACTGCACCGCATTGCCCCACGTACCTCACTGCACCGCATTGCCCCACGTACCTCACTGCACCGCATTGCCCCACGTACCTCACTGCACCGCATTGCCCCACGTACCTCACTGCACCGCATTGCCCCACGTACCTCACTGCACCGCATTGCCCCACGTACCTCACTGCACCGCATTGCCCCACGTACCTCACTGCACCGCATTGCCCCACGTACCTCACTGCACCGCATTGCCCCACGTACCTCACTGCACCGCATTGCCCCACGTACCTCACTGCACCGCATTGCCCCACGTACCTCACTGCACCGCATTGCCCCACGTACCTCACTGCACCGCATTGCCCCACGTACCTCACTGCACCGCATTGCCCCACGTACTCCTGCACCGCATTGCCCCACGTACCTCACTGCACCGCATTGCCCCACGTACCTCACTGCACCGCATTGCCCCACGTACCTCACTGCACCGCATTGCCCCACGTACCTCACTGCACCGCATTGCCCCACGTACCTCACTGCACCGCATTGCCCCACGTACCTCACTGCACCGCATTGCCCCACGTACCTCACTGCACCGCATTGCCCCACGTACCTCACTGCACCGCATTGCCCCACGTACCTCACTGCACCGCATTGCCCCACGTACCTCACTGCACCGCATTGCCCCACGTACCTCACTGCACCGCATTGCCCCACGTACCTCACTGCACCGCATTGCCCCACGTACCTCACTGCACCGCATTGCCCCACGTACCTCACTGCACCGCATTGGCCCCACGTACCTCACTGCACCGCATTGCCCCACGTACCTCACTGCACCGCATTGCCCCACGTACCTCACTGCACCGCATTGCCCCACGTACCTCACTGCACCGCATTGCCCCACGTACCTCACTGCACCGCATTGCCCCACGTACCTCACTGCACCGCATTGCCCCACGTACCTCACTGCACCGCATTGCCCCACGTACCTCACTGCACCGCATTGCCCCACGTACCTCACTGCACCGCATTGCCCCACGTACCTCACTGCACCGCATTGCCCCACGTACCTCACTGCACCGCATTGCCCCACGTACCTCACTGCACCGCATTGCCCCACGTACCTCACTGCACCGCATTGCCCCACGTACCTCACTGCACCGCATTGCCCCACGTACCTCACTGCACCGCATTGCCCCACGTACCTCACTGCACCGCATTGCCCCACGTACCTCACTGCACCGCATTGCCCCACGTACCTCACTGCACCGCATTGCCCCACGTACCTCACTGCACCGCATTGCCCCACGTACCTCACTGCACCGCATTGCCCCACGTACCTCACTGCACCGCATTGCCCCACGTACCTCACTGCACCGCATTGCCCCACGTACCTCACTGCACCGCATTGCCCCACGTACCTCACTGCACCGCATTGCCCCACGTACCTCACTGCACCGCATTGCCCCACGTACCTCACTGCACCGCATTGCCCCACGTACCTCACTGCACCGCATTGCCCCACGTACCTCACTGCACCGCATTGCCCCACGTACCTCACTGCACCGCATTGCCCCACGTACCTCACTGCACCGCATTGCCCCACGTACCTCACTGCACCGCATTGCCCCACGTACCTCACTGCACCGCATTGCCCCACGTACCTCACTGCACCGCATTGCCCCACGTACCTCACTGCACCGCATTGCCCCACGTACCTCACTGCACCGCATTGCCCCACGTACCTCACTGCACCGCATTGCCCCACGTACCTCACTGCACCGCATTGCCCCACGTACCTCACTGCACCGCATTGCCCCACGTACCTCACTGCACCGCATTGCCCCACGTACCTCACTGCACCGCATTGCCCCACGTACCTCACTGCACCGCATTGCCCCACGTACCTCACTGCACCGCATTGCCCCACGTACCTCACTGCACCGCATTGCCCCACGTACCTCACTGCACCGCATTGCCCCACGTACCTCACTGCACCGCATTGCCCCACGTACCTCACTGCACCGCATTGCCCCACGTACCTCACTGCACCGCATTGCCCCACGTACCTCACTGCACCGCATTGCCCCACGTACCTCACTGCACCGCATTGCCCCACGTACCTCACTGCACCGCATTGCCCCACGTACCTCACTGCACCGCATTGCCCCACGTACCTCACTGCACCGCATTGCCCCACGTACCTCACTGCACCGCATTGCCCCACGTACCTCACTGCACCGCATTGCCCCACGTACCTCACTGCACCGCATTGCCCCACGTACCTCACTGCACCGCATTGCCCCACGTACCTCACTGCACCGCATTGCCCCACGTACCTCACTGCACCGCATTGCCCCACGTACCTCACTGCACCGCATTGCCCCACGTACCTCACTGCACCGCATTGCCCCACGTACCTCACTGCACCGCATTGCCCCACGTACCTCACTGCACCGCATTGCCCCACGTACCTCACTGCACCGCATTGCCCCACGTACCTCACTGCACCGCATTGCCCCACGTACCTCACTGCACCGCATTGCCCCACGTACCTCACTGCACCGCATTGCCCCACGTACCTCACTGCACCGCATTGCCCCACGTACCTCACTGCACCGCATTGCCCCACGTACCTCACTGCACCGCATTGCCCCACGTACCTCACTGCACCGCATTGCCCCACGTACCTCACTGCACCGCATTGCCCCACGTACCTCACTGCACCGCATTGCCCCACGTACCTCACTGCACCGCATTGCCCCACGTACCTCACTGCACCGCATTGCCCCACGTACCTCACTGCACCGCATTGCCCCACGTACCTCACTGCACCGCATTGCCCCACGTACCTCACTGCACCGCATTGCCCCACGTACCTCACTGCACCGCATTGCCCCACGTACCTCACTGCACCGCATTGCCCCACGTACCTCACTGCACCGCATTGCCCCACGTACCTCACTGCACCGCATTGCCCCACGTACCTCACTGCACCGCATTGCCCCACGTACCTCACTGCACCGCATTGCCCCACGTACCTCACTGCACCGCATTGCCCCACGTACCTCACTGCACCGCATTGCCCCACGTACCTCACTGCACCGCATTGCCCCACGTACCTCACTGCACCGCATTTGCCCCACGTACCTCACTGCACCGCATTGCCCCACGTACCTCACTGCACCGCATTGCCCCACGTACCTCACTGCACCGCATTGCCCCACGTACCTCACTGCACCGCATTGCCCCACGTACCTCACTGCCCGCATTGCCCCACGTACCTCACTGCACCGCATTGCCCCACGTACCTCACTGCACCGCATTGCCCCACGTACCTCACTGCACCGCATTGCCCCACGTACCTCACTGCACCGCATTGCCCCACGTACCTCACTGCACCGCATTGCCCCACGTACCTCACTGCACCGCATTGCCCCACGTACCTCACTGCACCGCATTGCCCCACGTACCTCACTGCACCGCATTGCCCCACGTACCTCACTGCACCGCATTGCCCCACGTACCTCACTGCACCGCATTGCCCCACGTACCTCACTGCACCGCATTGCCCCACGTACCTCACTGCACCGCATTGCCCCACGTACCTCACTGCACCGCATTGCCCCACGTACCTCACTGCACCGCATTGCCCCACGTACCTCACTGCACCGCATTGCCCCACGTACCTCACTGCACCGCATTGCCCCACGTACCTCACTGCACCGCATTGCCCACGTACCTCACTGCACCGCATTGCCCCACGTACCTCACTGCACCGCATTGCCCCACGTACCTCACTGCACCGCATTGCCCCACGTACCTCACTGCACCGCATTGCCCCACGTACCTCACTGCACCGCATTGCCCCACGTACCTCACTGCACCGCATTGCCCCACGTACCTCACTGCACCGCATTGCCCCACGTACCTCACTGCACCGCATTGCCCCACGTACCTCACTGCACCGCATTGCCCCACGTACCTCACTGCACCGCATTGCCCCACGTACCTCACTGCACCGCATTGCCCCACGTACCTCACTGCACCGCATTGCCCCACGTACCTCACTGCACCGCATTGCCCCACGTACCTCACTGCACCGCATTGCCCCACGTACCTCACTGCACCGCATTGCCCCACGTACCTCACTGCACCGCATTGCCCCACGTACCTCACTGCACCGCATTGCCCCACGTACCTCACTGCACCGCATTGCCCCACGTACCTCACTGCACCGCATTGCCCCACGTACCTCACTGCACCGCATTGCCCCACGTACCTCACTGCACCGCATTGCCCCACGTACCTCACTGCACCGCATTGCCCCACGTACCTCACTGCACCGCATTGCCCACGTACCTCACTGCACCGCATTGCCCCACGTACCTCACTGCACCGCATTGCCCCACGTACCTCACTGCACCGCATTGCCCACGTACCTCACTGCACCGCATTGCCCCACGTACCTCACTGCACCGCATTGCCCCACGTACCTCACTGCACCGCATTGCCCCACGTACCTCACTGCACCGCATTGCCCCACGTACCTCACTGCACCGCATTGCCCCACGTACCTCACTGCACCGCATTGCCCCACGTACCTCACTGCACCGCATTGCCCCACGTACCTCACTGCACCGCATTGCCCCACGTACCTCACTGCACCGCATTGCCCCACGTACCTCACTGCACCGCATTGCCCCACGTACCTCACTGCACCGCATTGCCCCACGTACCTCACTGCACCGCATTGCCCCACGTACCTCACTGCACCGCATTGCCCCACGTACCTCACTGCACCGCATTGCCCCACGTACCTCACTGCACCGCATTGCCCCACGTACCTCACTGCACCGCATTGCCCCACGTACCTCACTGCACCGCATTGCCCCACGTACCTCACTGCACCGCATTGCCACGCCAGGCGTACCTCACTGCACCGCATTGCCCCACGTACCTCACTGCACCGCATTGCCCCACGTACCTCACTGCACCGCATTGCCCACGTACCTCACTGCACCGCATTGCCCCACGTACCTCACTGCACCGCATTGCCCCACGTACCTCACTGCACCGCATTGCCCCACGTACCTCACTGCACCGCATTGCCCCACGTACCTCACTGCACCGCATTGCCCCACGTACCTCACTGCACCGCATTGCCCCACGTACCTCACTGCACCGCATTGCCCCACGTACCTCACTGCACCGCATTGCCCCACGTACCTCACTGCACCGCATTGCCCCACGTACCTCACTGCACCGCATTGCCCCACGTACCTCACTGCACCGCATTGGCCCCACGTACCTCACTGCCACCGCATTGCCCCACGTACCTCACTGCACCGCATTGCCCCACGTACCTCACTGCACCGCATTGCCCCACGTACCTCACTGCACCGCATTGCCCCACGTACCTCACTGCACCGCATTGCCCCCACGTACCTCACTGCACCGCATTGCCCCACGTACCTCACTGCACCGCATTGCCCCACGTACCTCACTGCACCGCATTGCCCCACGTACCTCACTGCACCGCATTGCCCCACGTACCTCACTGCACCGCATTGCCCCACGTACCTCACTGCACCGCATTGCCCCACGTACCTCACTGCACCGCATTGCCCCACGTACCTCACTGCACCGCATTGCCCCACGTACCTCACTGCACCGCATTGCCCCACGTACCTCACTGCACCGCATTGCCCCACGTACCTCACTGCACCGCATTGCCCCACGTACCTCACTGCACCGCATTGCCCCACGTACCTCACTGCACCGCATTGCCCCACGTACCTCACTGCACCGCATTGCCCCACGTACCTCACTGCACCGCATTGCCCCACGTACCTCACTGCACCGCATTGCCCCACGTACCTCACTGCACCGCATTGCCCCACGTACCTCACTGCACCGCATTGCCCCACGTACCTCACTGCACCGCATTGCCCCACGTACCTCACTGCACCGCATTGCCCCACGTACCTCACTGCACCGCATTGCCCCACGTACCTCACTGCACCGCATTGCCCCACGTACCTCACTGCACCGCATTGCCCCACGTACCTCACTGCACCGCATTGCCCCACGTACCTCACTGCACCGCATTGCCCCACGTACCTCACTGCACCGCATTGGCCCCACGTACCTCACTGCACCGCATTGCCCCACGTACCTCACTGCACCGCATTGCCCCACGTACCTCACTGCACCGCATTGCCCCACGTACCTCACTGCACCGCATTGCCCCACGTACCTCACTGCACCGCATTGCCCCACGTACCTCACTGCACCGCATTGCCCCACGTACCTCACTGCACCGCATTGCCCCACGTACCTCACTGCACCGCATTGCCCCACGTACCTCACTGCACCGCATTGCCCCACGTACCTCACTGCACCGCATTGCCCCACGTACCTCACTGCACCGCATTGCCCCACGTACCTCACTGCACCGCATTGCCCCACGTACCTCACTGCACCGCATTGCCCCACGTACCTCACTGCACCGCATTGCCCCACGTACCTCACTGCACCGCATTGCCCCACGTACCTCACTGCACCGCATTGCCCCACGTACCTCACTGCACCGCATTGCCCCACGTACCTCACTGCACCGCATTGCCCCACGTACCTCACTGCACCGCATTGCCCCACGTACCTCACTGCACCGCATTGCCCCACGTACCTCACTGCACCGCATTGCCCCACGTACCTCACTGCACCGCATTGCCCCACGTACCTCACTGCACCGCATTGCCCCACGTACCTCACTGCACCGCATTGCCCCACGTACCTCACTGCACCGCATTGCCCCACGTACCTCACTGCACCGCATTGCCCCACGTACCTCACTGCACCGCATTGCCCCACGTACCTCACTGCACCGCATTGCCCCACGTACCTCACTGCACCGCATTGCCCCACGTACCTCACTGCACCGCATTGCCCCACGTACCTCACTGCACCGCATTGCCCCACGTACCTCACTGCACCGCATTGCCCCACGTACCTCACTGCACCGCATTGCCCCACGTACCTCACTGCACCGCATTGCCCCACGTACCTCACTGCACCGCATTGCCCCACGTACCACTGCACATGCACGTACCTCACTGCAATTGCCCCACGTACCTCACTGCACCGCATTGCCCCACGTACCTCACTGCACCGCATTGCCCCACGTACCTCACTGCACCGCATTGCCCCACGTACCTCACTGCACCGCATTGCCCCACGTACCTCACTGCACCGCATTGCCCCACGTACCTCACTGCACCGCATTGCCCCACGTACCTCACTGCACCGCATTGCCCCACGTACCTCACTGCACCGCATTGCCCCACGTACCTCACTGCACCGCATTGCCCCACGTACCTCACTGCACCGCATTGCCCCACGTACCTCACTGCACCGCATTGCCCCACGTACCTCACTGCACCGCATTGCCCCACGTACCTCACTGCACCGCATTGCCCCACGTACCTCACTGCACCGCATTGCCCCACGTACCTCACTGCACCGCATTGCCCCACGTACCTCACTGCACCGCATTGCCCCACGTACCTCACTGCACCGCATTGCCCCACGTACCTCACTGCACCGCATTGCCCCACGTACCTCACTGCACCGCATTGCCCCACGTACCTCACTGCACCGCATTGCCCCACGTACCTCACTGCACCGCATTGCCCCACGTACCTCACTGCACCGCATTGCCCCACGTACCTCACTGCACCGCATTGCCCCACGTACCTCACTGCACCGCATTGCCCCACGTACCTCACTGCACCGCATTGCCCCACGTACCTCACTGCACCGCATTGCCCCACGTACCTCACTGCACCGCATTGCCCCACGTACCTCACTGCACCGCATTGCCCCACGTACCTCACTGCACCGCATTGCCCCACGTACCTCACTGCACCGCATTGCCCCACGTACCTCACTGCACCGCATTGCCCCACGTACCTCACTGCACCGCATTGCCCCACGTACCTCACTGCACCGCATTGCCCCACGTACCTCACTGCACCGCATTGCCCCACGTACCTCACTGCACCGCATTGCCCCACGTACCTCACTGCACCGCATTGCCCCACGTACCTCACTGCACCGCATTGCCCCACGTACCTCACTGCACCGCATTGCCCCACGTACCTCACTGCACCGCATTGCCCCACGTACCTCACTGCACCGCATTGCCCCACGTACCTCACTGCACCGCATTGCCCCACGTACCTCACTGCACCGCATTGCCCCACGTACCTCACTGCACCGCATTGCCCCACGTACCTCACTGCACCGCATTGCCCCACGTACCTCACTGCACCGCATTGCCCCACGTACCTCACTGCACCGCATTGCCCCACGTACCTCACTGCACCGCATTGCCCCACGTACCTCACTGCACCGCATTGCCCCACGTACCTCACTGCACCGCATTGCCCCACGTACCTCACTGCACCGCATTGCCCCACGTACCTCACTGCACCGCATTGCCCCACGTACCTCACTGCAACCGCATTGCCCCACGTACCTCACTGCACCGCATTGCCCCACGTACCTCACTGCACCGCATTGCCCCACGTACCTCACTGCACCGCATTGCCCCACGTACCTCACTGCACCGCATTGCCCCACGTACCTCACTGCACCGCATTGCCCCACGTACCTCACTGCACCGCATTGCCCCACGTACCTCACTGCACCGCATTGCCCCACGTACCTCACTGCACCGCATTGCCCCACGTACCTCACTGCACCGCATTGCCCCCACGTACCTCACTGCACCGCATTGCCCCACGTACCTCACTGCACCGCATTGCCCCACGTACCTCACTGCAACCGCATTGCCCCACGTACCCTCACTGCACGCATTGCCCCACGTACCTCACTGCACCGCATTGCCCCACGTACCTCACTGCACCGCATTGCCCCACGTACCTCACTGCACCGCATTGGCCCCACTTACCTCACTGCACCGCATTGCCCCACGTACCTCACTGCACCGCATTGCCCCACGTACCTCACTGCACCGCATTGCCCCACGTACCTCACTGCACCGCATTGCCCCACGTACCTCACTGCACCGCATTGCCCCACGTACCTCACTGCACCGCATTGCCCCACGTACCTCACTGCACCGCATTGCCCCACGTACCTCACTGCACCGCATTGCCCCACGTACCTCACCTGCACCGCATTGCCCCACGTACCTCACTGCACCGCATTGCCCCACGTACCTCACTGCACCGCATTGCCCCACGTACCTCACTGCACCGCATTGCCCCACGTACCTCACTGCACCGCATTGCCCCACGTACCTCACTGCACCGCATTGCCCCACGTACCTCACTGCACCGCATTGCCCACGTACCTCACTGCACCGCATTGCCCCACGTACCTCACTGCACCGCATTGCCCCACGTACCTCACTGCACCGCATTGCCCCACGTACCTCACTGCACCGCATTGCCCCACGTACCTCACTGCACCGCATTGCCCCACGTACCTCACTGCACCGCATTGCCCCACGTACCTCACTGCACCGCATTGCCCCACGTACCTCACTGCACCGCATTGCCCCACGTACCTCACTGCACCGCATTGCCCCACGTACCTCACTGCACCGCATTGCCCCACGTACCTCACTGCACCGCATTGCCCCACGTACCTCACTGCACCGCATTGCCCCACGTACCTCACTGCACCGCATTGCCCCACGTACCTCACTGCACCGCATTGCCCCACGTACCTCACTGCACCGCATTGCCCCACGTACCTCACTGCACCGCATTGCCCCACGTACCTCACTGCACCGCATTGCCCCACGTACCTCACTGCACCGCATTGCCCCACGTACCTCACTGCACCGCATTGCCCCACGTACCTCACTGCACCGCATTGCCCCACGTACCTCACTGCACCGCATTGCCCCACGTACCTCACTGCACCGCATTGCCCCACGTACCTCACTGCACCGCATTGCCCCACGTACCTCACTGCACCGCATTGCCCCACGTACCTCACTGCACCGCATTGCCCCACGTACCTCACTGCACCGCATTGCCCCACGTACCTCACTGCACCGCATTGCCCCACGTACCTCACTGCACCGCATTGCCCCACGTACCTCACTGCACCGCATTGCCCCACGTACCTCACTGCACCGCATTGCCCCACGTACCTCACTGCACCGCATTGCCCCACGTACCTCACTGCACCGCATTGCCCCACGTACCTCACTGCACCGCATTGCCCCACGTACCTCACTGCACCGCATTGCCCCACGTACCTCACTGCACCGCATTGCCCCACGTACCTCACTGCACCGCATTGCCCCACGTACCTCACTGCACCGCATTGCCCCACGTACCTCACTGCACGCATTGCCCCACGCTACCTCCCTGCACTCGCATTGCCCCACGTACCTCACTGCCACCGCATGCCCCACGTACCTCACTGCACCGCATTGCCCCACGTACCTCACTGACACCGCATTGCCCCACGTACCCATCACTGCACCCATTGCCCCCCCCCATTGCCCCACGTACCTCACTGCACCGCATTGCCCCACGTACCCACTGCACCGCATTGCCCCCACGTACCTGCACTGCACCGCATTGCCCCACGTACCTCACTGCACCGCATTGCCCCACGTACCTCACTGCACCGGCATTTGCCCCCATCGTACCTCACTGCAGCCGCATTGCCCCACGTACCTCACTGCACCGAATTGCCCCACGCTACCTCACTGCACCGGCATTGCCCCACGTACCTGCACTGCACCGCATTGCCCCCACGTACCTCACTGCACCGCATTGCCCCACGTACCTCACTGCACCGCATTGCCCCACGTACCTCACTGCACCGCATTGCCCCACGTACCTCACTGCACCGGCATTGCCCACGTACCTCACTGCACCGCATTGCCCCACGTACCTCACTGCACCGCATTGCCCCACGTACCTCACTGCACCGCATTGCCCCACGTACCTCACTGCACCGCATTGGCCCCACGTACCTCACTGCACCGCATTGCCCCACGTACCTCACTGCACCGCATTGCCCCACGTACCTCACTGCACCGCATTGCCCCACGTACCTCACTGCACCGCATTGCCCCACGTACCTCACTGCACCGCATTGCCCCACGTACCTCACTGCACCGCATTGCCCCACGTACCTCACTGCACCGCATTGCCCCACGTACCTCACTGCACCGCATTGCCCCACGTACCTCACTGCACCGCATTGCCCCACGTACCTCACTGCACCGCATTGCCCCACGTACCTCACTGCACCGCATTGCCCCACGTACCTCACTGCACCGCATTGCCCCACGTACCTCACTGCACCGCATTGCCCCACGTACCTCACTGCACCGCATTGCCCCACGTACCTCACTGCACCGCATTGCCCCACGTACCTCACTGCACCGCATTGGCCCCACGTACCTCACTGCACCGCATTTGCCCCACGTACCTCACTGCACCGCATTGCCCCACGTACCTCACTGCACCGCATTGCCCCACGTACCTCACTGCACCGCATTGCCCCACGTACCTCACTGCACCGCATTGCCCCACGTACCTCACTGCACCGCATTGCCCCACGTACCTCACTGCACCGCATTGCCCCACGTACCTCACTGCACCGCATTGCCCCACGTACCTCACTGCACCGCATTGCCCCACGTACCTCACTGCACCGCATTGCCCCACGTACCTCACTGCACCGCATTGCCCCACGTACCTCACTGCACCGCATTGCCCCACGTACCTCACTGCACCGCATTGCCCCACGTACCTCACTGCACCGCATTGCCCCACGTACCTCACTGCACCGCATTGCCCCACGTACCTCACTGCACCGCATTGCCCCACGTACCTCACTGCACCGCATTGCCCCACGTACCTCACTGCACCGCATTGCCCCACGTACCTCACTGCACCGCATTGCCCCACGTACCTCACTGCACCGCATTGCCCCACGTACCTCACTGCACCGCATTGCCCCACGTACCTCACTGCACCGCATTGCCCCACGTACCTCACTGCACCGCATTGCCCCACGTACCTCACTGCACCGCATTGCCCCACGTACCTCACTGCACCGCATTGCCCCACGTACCTCACTGCACCGCATTGCCCCACGTACCTCACTGCACCGCATTGCCCCACGTACCTCACTGCACCGCATTGCCCCACGTACCTCACTGCACCGCATTGCCCCACGTACCTCACTGCACCGCATTGCCCCACGTACCTCACTGCACCGCATTGCCCCACGTACCTCACTGCACCGCATTGCCCCACGTACCTCACTGCACCGCATTGCCCCACGTACCTCACTGCACCGCATTGCCCCACGTACCTCACTGCACCGCATTGCCCCACGTACCTCACTGCACCGCATTGCCCCACGTACCTCACTGCACCGCATTGCCCCACGTACCTCACTGCACCGCATTGCCCCACGTACCTCACTGCACCGCATTGCCCCACGTACCTCACTGCACCGCATTGCCCCACGTACCTCACTGCACCGCATTGCCCCACGTACCTCACTGCACCGCATTGCCCCACGTACCTCACTGCACCGCATTGCCCCACGTACCTCACTGCACCGCATTGCCCCACGTACCTCACTGCACCGCATTGCCCCACGTACCTCACTGCACCGCATTGCCCCACGTACCTCACTGCACCGCATTGCCCCACGTACCTCACTGCACCGCATTGCCCCACGTACCTCACTGCACCGCATTGCCCCACGTACCTCACTGCACCGCATTGCCCCACGTACCTCACTGCACCGCATTGCCCCACGTACCTCACTGCACCGCATTGCCCCACGTACCTCACTGCACCGCATTGCCCCACGTACCTCACTGCACCGCATTGCCCCACGTACCTCACTGCACCGCATTGCCCCACGTACCTCACTGCACCGCATTGCCCCACGTACCTCACTGCACCGCATTGCCCCACGTACCTCACTGCACCGCATTGCCCCACGTACCTCACTGCACCGCATTGCCCCACGTACCTCACTGCACCGCATTGCCCCACGTACCTCACTGCACCGCATTGCCCCACGTACCTCACTGCACCGCATTGCCCCACGTACCTCACTGCACCGCATTGCCCCACGTACCTCACTGCACCGCATTGCCCCACGTACCTCACTGCACCGCATTGCCCCACGTACCTCACTGCACCGCATTGCCCCACGTACCTCACTGCACCGCATTGCCCCACGTACCTCACTGCACCGCATTGCCCCACGTACCTCACTGCACCGCATTGCCCCACGTACCTCACTGCACCGCATTGCCCCACGTACCTCACTGCACCGCATTGCCCCACGTACCTCACTGCACCGCATTGCCCCACGTACCTCACTGCACCGCATTGCCCCACGTACCTCACTGCACCGCATTGCCCCACGTACCTCACTGCACCGCATTGCCCCACGTACCTCACTGCCACCGCATTGCCCCACGTACCTCACTGCACCGCATTGCCCCACGTACCTCACTGCACCGCATTGCCCCACGTACCTCACTGCACCGCATTGCCCCACGTACCTCACTGCACCGCATTGCCCCACGTACCTCACTGCACCGCATTGCCCCACGTACCTCACTGCACCGCATTGCCCCACGTACCTCACTGCACCGCATTGCCCCACGTACCTCACTGCACCGCATTGCCCCACGTACCTCACTGCACCGCATTGCCCCACGTACCTCACTGCACCGCATTGCCCCACGTACCTCACTGCACCGCATTGCCCCACGTACCTCACTGCACCGCATTGCCCCACGTACCTCACTGCACCGCATTGCCCCACGTACCTCACTGCCGGCACCGCATTGCCCCACGTACCTCACTGCACCGCATTGCCCCACGTACCTCACTGCACCGCATTGCCCCACGTACCTCACTGCACCGCATTGCCCCACGTACCTCACTGCACCGCATTGCCCCACGTACCTCACTGCACCGCATTGCCCCACGTACCTCACTGCACCGCATTGCCCCACGTACCTCACTGCACCGCATTGCCCCACGTACCTCACTGCACCGCATTGCCCCACGTACCTCACTGCACCGCATTGCCCCACGTACCTCACTGCACCGCATTGCCCCACGTACCTCACTGCACCGCATTGGCCCCACGTACCTCACTGCACCGCATTGCCCCACGTACCTCACTGCACCGCATTGCCCCACGTACCTCACTGCACCGCATTGCCCCACGTACCTCACTGCACCGCATTGCCCCACGTACCTCACTGCACCGCATTGCCCCACGTACCTCACTGCACCGCATTGCCCCACGTACCTCACTGCACCGCATTGCCCCACGTACCTCACTGCACCGCATTGCCCCACGTACCTCACTGCACCGCATTGCCCCACGTACCTCACTGCACCGCATTGCCCCACGTACCTCACTGCACCGCATTGCCCCACGTACCTCACTGCACCGCATTGCCCCACGTACCTCACTGCACCGCATTGCCCCACGTACCTCACTGCACCGCATTGCCCCACGTACCTCACTGCACCGCATTGGCCCCACGTACCTCACTGCACCGCATTGCCCCACGTACCTCACTGCACCGCATTGCCCCACGTACCTCACTGCACCGCATTGCCCCACGTACCTCACTGCACCGCATTGCCCCACGTACCTCACTGCACCGCATTGCCCCACGTACCTCACTGCACCGCATTGCCCCACGTACCTCACTGCACCGCATTGCCCCACGTACCTCACTGCACCGCATTGCCCCACGTACCTCACTGCACCGCATTGCCCCACGTACCTCACTGCACCGCATTGCCCCACGTACCTCACTGCACCGCATTGCCCCACGTACCTCACTGCACCGCATTGCCCCACGTACCTCACTGCACCGCATTGCCCCACGTACCTCACTGCACCGCATTGCCCCACGTACCTCACTGCACCGCATTGCCCCACGTACCTCACTGCACCGCATTGCCCCACGTACCTCACTGCACCGCATTGCCCCACGTACCTCACTGCACCGCATTGCCCCACGTACCTCACTGCACCGCATTGCCCCACGTACCTCACTGCACCGCATTGCCCCACGTACCTCACTGCACCGCATTGCCCCACGTACCTCACTGCACCGCATTGCCCCACGTACCTCACTGCACACCGCATTGCCCCACGTACCTCACTGCACCGCATTGCCCCACGTACCTCACTGCACCGCATTGCCCCACGTACCTCACTGCACCGCATTGCCCCACGTACCTCACTGCACCGCATTGCCCCACGTACCTCACTGCACCGCATTGCCCCACGTACCTCACTGCACCGCATTGCCCCACGTACCTCACTGCACCGCATTGCCCCACGTACCTCACTGCACCGCATTGCCCCACGTACCTCACTGCACCGCATTGCCCCACGTACCTCACTGCACCGCATTGCCCCACGTACCTCACTGCACCGCATTGCCCCACGTACCTCACTGCACCGCATTGCCCCACGTACCTCACTGCACCGCATTGCCCCCACGTACCTCACTGCACCGCATTGCCCCACGTACCTCACTGCACCGCATTGCCCCACACGTACCTCACTGCACCGCATTGGCCCCACGTACCTCACTGCACCGCATTGCCCCACGTACCTCACTGCACCGCATTGCCCCACGTACCTCACTGCACCGCATTGCCCCACGTACCTCACTGCACCGCATTGCCCCACGTACCTCACTGCACCGCATTGCCCCACGTACCTCACTGCACCGCATTGCCCCACGTACCTCACTGCACCGCATTGCCCCACGTACCTCACTGCACCGCATTGCCCCACGTACCTCACTGCACCGCATTGCCCCACGTACCTCACTGCACCGCATTGCCCCACGTACCTCACTGCACCGCATTGCCCCACGTACCTCACTGCACCGCATTGCCCCACGTACCTCACTGCACCGCATTGCCCCACGTACCTCACTGCACCGCATTGCCCCACGTACCTCACTGCACCGCATTGCCCCACGTACCTCACTGCACCGCATTGCCCCCACGTACCTCACTGCACCGCATTGCCCCACGTACCTCACTGCAACCGCATTGCCCCACGTACCTCACTGCACCGCATTGCCCCACGTACCTCACTGCACCGCATTGCCCCACGTACCTCACTGCACCGCATTGCCCCACGTACCTCACTGCACCGCATTGCCCCACGTACCTCACTGCACCGCATTGCCCCACGTACCTCACTGCACCGCATTGCCCCACGTACCTCACTGCACCGCATTGCCCCACGTACCTCACTGCACCGCATTGCCCCACGTACCTCACTGCACCGCATTGCCCCACGTACCTCACTGCAATGCTGCGCTTCCACCAGTGCACAAAGAGGTCCCCCCGAAGGTCCTCCTGTCACACACAGCCACCGCACAAACAACCACCGTTGGATTTGGGCACGCACAAACAACCACCGTTGGATTTGGGCACGCACAAAGCAGCAAAAAAGACTGATCCCTTGGCCCTCTCAAATGGCTCTCACCGCCAAGGGGCCTCCAAGAGCTTTCACACACTACAGAATCACAATCCCTTATTCTTCTCACTGTGAGCCGCTCCATAAGTCATCATGCAACAAGCCCTGACACTGTCAGCCCTCTCGCCCTCGCCCTCACTCCTCTCACCGAGAGGCTCTCCATGAGCTCAAACTCGTCAAACTTCTGCGACAGCTGCGCCTGCCACTGGTGGCACTAGTGAGGCTCCACACGCGTTTCAACTCATGATGAGCCCTCCCATCATAAGTCGCCCACTCGCCCTCACTCCTCTCACCGAGAGGCTCTCCATGAGCTCAAACTCGTCAAACCTCTGCGGCAGTGCGCCTGCCACTGGCGGCACTTGGGAGGCTCTCTACTACATGCGGTTCAAATCATAAGGCTCACACTATGAAATGAAGCCTCTCAGCACGATCAACTCATAAGCCTCACACCATACGACTTTCACAGTGAGGCTCTCCATGAGCTCAAACTCGTCGAATTTCTGCGACAGCTGCGCCTGCCACTGCCAGCACTAGCGAGCCTCTCCACCTCTCCATGGACCCTCCCTCACACACAATATGAACACTCAGGCGCGCCCTTAGCCCTCTCCCAACCAACAACTCTCACCGTGAGGCTCTCCATGAGCTCAAACTCGTCGAATTTCTGAGAGAGCTGCGCCTGCCACTGGCGGGTGAGGTGCACCATCTGGGGGGGAGATAGAAGAGGGGCGGGGAGAGGGTGGAGAGAAAGGGGGGAATTTAGCATTTGGGAGAGCTGCACGTGCCACTGCGCGTGAGGTGCACCATCACTGGGAGGAAGGAGGGCCGGAGAGGGAGGGGAGAGAGGGAGACTGAATGGAAGACTGAAGGGAGGTGCCTTACCAAGCGTTTCGCGAGCCACTCTGGCCCGCAGACCTTTTGAGGCGCCGCAAACATCGTCCAAGTCTTTCTCAACAAGCGGTGGATTCGTTAAAAAGCTCTCGAGGATTCTAATAAGTCGCGATAGAATCAAATCATGTGAGTGAGTGTCTTACCAGGCGGTTGGCGAGCCACTCTGGAAGCTCCTCCCTCTCTATGAACCTGGCAACACACATGCGAGTGGGCGGGTGTTTATGAGCATTCTCAAGAACACCCTCCATGCAGCTTCAGGGACTCACCAGACGGTTGGCGAGCCACTCTGGAAGCTCCTCCCTCTCGATGAACCTGCCAACAGGTAGGCAGACGGGCAGGCGGGCAGGCAATGGGGGGACATGAGAGAGGGAGATGAGGGAGGATATGGGTTCTAGAGCGTTTGGAAGGGAGGATTTCGGGGTAACAGAGGGATGCAGACAGGTGACGGGAGAGGGGAAGGAGACGGGAGAGGGAAACCAAGAGGGGTTGTGCACTGTACAGACTTGTAAATTGTGGATAGTTGCCGAGCATGGAATGAGGAGGGCAACGGGGGGAGCGGAGGTACGCACTTGTGGAGTGTTCCAAATCGCTGCCTTGCATTCTCCCGACGCTCCCTGTGGGGGTGGAAGCACAGGCAGAAGCAGAGGCAGAGGCACAGGCAGAGACGGCGGCAGAGTCATGGATAGTGGCAGAAGCAGAGGTTAGAAAGAGGTCAGAAGCGGCCAAAAGCGGTCAGACGAGGCCTGGCACAAGAATGAAAAAAAACACCAGCACGGAACGGCACTGGCTTCTGGGACTGTGGCTGACAGTGTTGCCCAGTTTGATGGGTGCATGGCGGCAGGAGTAGATTGAGGAGTGCTCGCCCTGATTGCACAGATTAAGGAGGAAATTACCTGCTGGCATAGATTAAGGAGGTAATTTGACCGACAGCGTAACCCAGCATGATGGCTGCGAGCAGGTTATAGATGGTGCCGAAGATGCGCTCTGGGATGGTGTCCTGGGGGTAGATGTCGCCGTAGCCCACCTGGAGTGGTGCATGGGGCATGAAGGGAGGAAGGAACAGAGAGCATTGGCTCTGAGAATGCGTGCCAAAGATGCTCTCAGCTCAGGTATGGGTGTCCTGGGGGTAGATGTCTCCGTAGCCCACCTGCAGTGAATGGTGCATGAAGGGAAGGGGGGCATAGAGAGCATGATAGCTGCGAGCAGGTTGTAGATGGTGCCAAAGATGCGCTCTGGAATTGTGTCCTGAGGGTAGATGTCCCCGTAGCCCACCTGCAGTGAATGCGGTACAGGACGGTTATGCATGAAGTGCATGGGGTACATATGGGTTATGGGTGGCTTAAATCCTCTGAGAAGGTGTCCTGAGGGTAGATGTCACCATATCCCACCTGCGGTGTGGTGAATGGGTACAGTACGGTATGCATGGAGGGAATGGGGTACGTATGGGTTATGGGTGGCTTAAACATTGTTAGATGGTGTCCCGGGGGTAGATGTCACCACCATATCCCACCTGCACACAAAGAGCACCATGAACATAGAAAGAACATGAATGAAGTGCATGGAGTAAGGAGAGTGGGGCATGCGGGTGTGGAGTGAGAGAGGTCACATCACACAATAGCACAGCCCCAGCACGATGGTTGTGAGCAGGCTGTAGGATGAAAGGAAAGGGATGAGAGGAGAAGGATGAGTGGAGAAGGACGAAATAAGAGGGGATGAGATCGCACCGAGGCAGGGGTGACCATGGACCAATAGATGGTTGACACGTAGGCAATAAGCGGGATCACAATATCCAGTAGGCATGTGCAGGGCATCTCACCGAGGCAAAGGTCACCATGGACCAATAGATGGCCGCCACGTAGGCGACAAATGGCGGCGCCGTTTCCAGCGGCTGCGCCTCCCCGTTGTCGTCCCAGAAGAAGCTGGCGAGCCACGATTGGCCCTCTGGCTCGAGCCGGCCAATCAGAGCGAAGACGCATGCGCCCACGTGGCAGAACATGCAGATCTGGGGGAGAACAGTGGCATGCAGCCAGAGAGTGAGTGAGTGAGTGAGTGAGTGAGTGTGTGAGTGAGTGAGTGTGTGAGTGAGTGAGTGAGTGAGCAGAGGGGAACATCCAGGGTGACCTGAGTTCACTTAAAACGCGCCCACGTGGCATAACATGCAGATCTGGGGCAGACGGAGGGACAGACCGACCGGGGAGAAGACAGGATTAAGTGGGGAAAGCAGGAGTAGACGGGGTGAGGCGGGGCAGCCGGGGTGAAGCGGGGCAGGCAGAGGCCGATGAAACAATGCAGTGGAGAGGGGGACATGGACGTGCATCCACGAGAGGGTGAGTGACGGTGATCTCTTGAGCCTCCTTACCACAACATTCCCAGCTGAAACATGTGTACCCACCAGCCTGAGTGTCACCCACCCACCCACCTGCAGTCCCACCCACCTGCAGTCCCACCCACCTGCAGTCCCACCCTCCTGCAGTCCCACCCTCCTGCAGTCCCACCCACCTGCAGTCCCACCCTCCTGCAGTCCCACCCACCTGCAGTCCCACCCTCCTGCAGTCCCACCCACCTGCAGTCCCACCCTCCTGCAGTCCCACCCACCTGCAGTCCCACCCTCCTGCAGTCCCACCCTCCTGCAGTCCCACCCACCTGCAGTCCCACCCTCCTGCAGTCCCACCCTCCTGCAGTCCCACCCTCCTGCAGTCCCACCCTCCTGCAGTCCCACCCACCTGCAGTCCCACCCTCCTGCAGTCCCACCCACCTGCAGTCCCACCCTCCTGCAGTCCCACCCACCTGCAGTCCCACCCTCCTGCAGTCCCACCCACCTGCAGTCCCACCCTCCTGCAGTCCCACCCACCTGCAGTCCCACCCTCCTGCAGTCCCACCCTCCTGCAGTCCCACCCACCTGCAGTCCCACCCTCCTGCAGTCCCACCCTCCTGCAGTCCCACCCTCCTGCAGTCCCACCCACCTGCAGTCCCACCCTCCTGCAGTCCCACCCTCCTGCAGTCCCACCCTCCTGCAGTCCCACCCACCTGCAGTCCCACCCTCCTGCAGTCCCACCCACCTGCAGTCCCACCCTCCTGCAGTCCCACCCTCCTGCAGTCCCACCCACCTGCAGTCCCACCCTCCTGCAGTCCCACCCTCCTGCAGTCCCACCCTCCTGCAGTCCCACCCACCTGCAGTCCCACCCTCCTGCAGTCCCACCCACCTGCAGTCCCACCCTCCTGCAGTCCCACCCACCTGCAGTCCCACCCTCCTGCAGTCCCACCCTCCTGCAGTCCCACCCACCTGCAGTCCCACCCTCCTGCAGTCCCACCCACCTGCAGTCCCACCCTCCTGCAGTCCCACCCACCTGCAGTCCCACCCTCCTGCAGTCCCACCCACCTGCAGTCCCACCCTCCTGCAGTCCCACCCTCCTGCAGTCCCACCCACCTGCAGTCCCACCCTCCTGCAGGATGAGAACGGTGAGCTCCATCCACGTGGAGCGCAGGAAGGAGGTCCTGAGCTTGCCTTCGTACCTGCCTGCTGTGAGGTTATGAGTACCGTGCTGTGCGTTCACATCCACCCACGCACCCACCCGCCCACCCACCTGCAGGATGAGCACGGTGAGCTCCATCCACGTGGAGCGCAGGAAGGACGTTCTGAGCTGGTCCGTGGCGTTCAGCAGGCGGCGCATGCGGAAGAGCTTCAGTGCTCGGAACACCTGGGGGGGGGCATGAGAGGCATCATGAGGCAGCACAGGGCAAGGGGGATCCGGAGTGAATGGGGCAGCACAGGGCAAGGGGGATCCGGAGTGAATGGGGCAGCACAGGGCAAGGGGGATCCGGAGTGAATGGGGCACGGGGTTCTGAGTCCGTGGCGTTGAGCAGGCGGCGCATGCGGAAGAGCTTCAGCGCCCGGAACACCTGCAGGGGGCATGAGAGGCAGGGCAGTGGGTATTGGCGCAGCAGGGCGGATATGGAGTGATTGGGGCAGTGGAGCAGTTGAGCAGTCAGCGCATGCGGAAGAGCTTCAGTGCTCGGAACACCTGCAGGGGGAGTAGAGGCAGCATGGGAGAGGGGAAAGGGAATGGAGTAAACGAACGGGAAGGGGAGTGAACGGGGCAGTCGACTTGTTCAGCAGGCGGCGCATGCGGAAGAGCTTCAGTGCTGGGAACACCTGGAGGGAGGACAGGGCAGAGTGGGTGGTGAGGGAGATGATGAGAGGTGGCAGCCCCCCCAGCAGCACCCCCAGAAGCAGCACCCCCAGCAGCACATAAAGGAATAGAAGACTGGACGACCGGGACACTCACGGTGGAGATCCAGAAGCCGGAGGAGGAGGTGGTGGTGAGGGAGATGATGAGATCCATGGGCAGGGAGGAGAGCAGGTCGAGCACGAACCACGTGCGCAGGTAGTGCCACACTATGCGCCGCTGATGGGGGGGAAGTGGGGGGGTATAGAAAGATGCAGGGAGATATGGGAAGGTGCAGAAGAAAGGGACGGGATGGGGAGATAATGAGGTCCATGGGGAGTGATGAGAGCAGGTCGAGCAGGAACCATGTGCGCAGGTAGTGCCACACTATGCGCCGCTGATGGGGGGAAGGTGAGGGGATAGGGGCACAGAGGAGGGGGCAAGGGGAAGGGGAAGGCACGGGTGCGTGGGCAGGGAAGAGAGCAGGTCGAGCAGGAACCACGTGCGCAGGTAGTGCCACACTATGCGCCGCTGATGGGGGGAAGGTGAGGGGATAGGGGCACAGAGGAGGGGGCAAGGGGAAGGGGAAGGCACGGGTGTGTGGGCAGGGAGGAGAGCAGGTCGAGCAGGAACCACGTGCGCAGGTAGTGCCACACTATGCGCCGCTGGTGTGGGGAGAAGTGGGGGAGGGGTTAGAAAGATGCAGGGAGATAGGGGCAGGTGCAGGTGCAGGGGAAGGGACGGGGAAGGCTGGGGCTTATAGGCAGCAAAGGGAGGAGGTCGAGTAGGAATCATGTGCACAGGTAGTCCACACTACGCGGCGCTGCTGGTGAGCGTGAGGGTGGTGAAGGGGATGGGAGCAGATGCAGTAAGGGGGGGCAAGGGCAGGGACAAGAGGAGGTAGAGGGGGAACACGTGCGTAGGTAGTGCTTGCCCCCCACCCACCCACATCGCATCTGCTCCAGAACAATCTGCTTCGGTTGCAGGACTTCTCCTCCCACCCTCCCACCCACGCACCCATTTCAACCCTTCCACCTCCCCCACCATCTAGACCCCACCGCGCCCCCCCTCCCCCCAACAACGCACCTGCTCCAGAACAATCTGCTGCGGCTGCAATGCAATATCCTGATGCCGTCCTCTCTGCCGCCACAACCTCCTCTCCCACGCACTCACTCCACACCTTCCACCTCCCCCCCCCAACCCTAATCCTCCCACTTTACAACGCACCTGCTCCAGAACAATCTGCTGCGGCTGCAAGATCTTGATGCCGTCGCTTGTGCGCACATGCCGCTCTCTCGTCACGTACCTGCAGTGGGGATTCAGGAAGGGAAGCAAGTAAGCAAGCAGCAGAAAGAGTCAACTAAGGAATCTCTTGATCTCGTCGCTTGTGGTGGCGGAATGCAGTCAGATAGTGATTTGCTCCAGAAAGAAAGGGAGAGAGAGGGAGCCTGACCCGGTTTCAGGTTGATGGAGCCTGACCCGGTTTCAGGTTGATGGAGCCTGACCCGGTTTCAAAATCAACCTCAAACAAAAGGGAGAGAGAGGGAGGCTGACCCGGCTTCGAAGTAAAGAAGCACGTCGATGAGGTAGATGGCGGAGAGGGTGGAGACAGGGAGCAATTGAGTGCAGTCATACTGAAATCCAGCTGAGACCAATAAGAAAGAGGCAGAGAGGGGGCTAGAGGGACTCACCCGGTCTTGAAGCCGAGAAGCACGTTGAGGTAGATGACGGAGAGGGTGGAGTGAGGGTGTGGATGGAGTGGAGGAAGGGGCAAGTGGGCACTGGGCAGTGGTGTTTGGAGAGAGAGGCTCACTCACCCGGTCTTGAAGCCCAGGAGCACGTCGATGAGGTAGATGGCGGAGAGGGTGGAGTCGACAATGAGCCACGCGCCTGTGGAGCGCAGATCAAAGGCGATCTGGAAGAGAATCTCCCACTGGAAACATGGGAGGGAGGACGTGGTGAGATGAGAGGGGCACATGGGAGAGCGTGTGAGGGAAGGCTTGACGATGGTGCACAGGAGAGGGTGGAGTGGACGATGAGCCACGCGCCCGTGGAGCGCAGGTCAAAGGCGATCTGGAAGAGAATCTCCCACTGGCGGGCGGGGCGGAGAGACAGGGTGTGGTGAGAGGGGCACATGGGGAGGGGGTTTGAGCGAGGGCCATATGGGAGAGCGTGGAGTTGACTATGAGCCACGCGCCTGTGGAGCGCAGGTCAAAGGCGATCTGGAAGAGAATCTCCCACTGGCGGGCGGGGGAAGGGGTGCGGTGGGAGGGTCACATATGGAAGAGCGTGTGAGGGAAGGTTTGAGGGTGCAGAGGAGAGGGGTATGGTGAGTGAGAGGGGCATATGGAACAGAGTGCGGGAGGGATGGTTGTAGGCGGCATGCGCCTGTGGAGCGCAGCGTAGGTCAAAAGGCGACCTGGAAGAGGATCTCCCACTGGTGTGAGGGGTGGGAGAGGGTGTGGGAATCCCCCACTTCCCCCGGCCCCAACTCTCCGCCCTGCACAGCTCACCACGTTGTAGAGAATGCAGGCGCCCACACCACAAGCACGTTGATATCGCGGCGGAACCTCGAGTAGGGGTGGATGATGGGGATGCGGCACAAAAGAACACCCACCAGTAGAGCACGTTGTACACCCCTTACCCCGTCTTCCTCTCCTTCCCCCCTCCCACAAGCTCACCACGTTGTAGAGAATGCACGTGCCCACGAGCACGTTGATATCGCGGCGGAACCTCGAGTAGGGGTGGATGATGGGAATGCGCATTCGCCTCATCGCCGCCAGCACCCACCGGTACACCACGTAGCACAGCCCGGCCTCCTTCCGAGGCGGTGTTGACGGCACCGGCCCAACCTTCTCAGGTACGGGCTGGTTCAGGTACGTAGCCCATGCAAGGTCAGACCAGCACCCGCCTTCCCTCTCTCCGTCTTCCCCTCTCGCCCCTCTCCCTCCTCTCCCTCCTTGCAACCCTCGCAATCCTCGTCCTCTTCTCCTTCCCAACACCCTGCTCCCCTCGCTTCTCCCTCCGCCCTCCTCCCCAATCCCCTCTCTCCCCCTCTCCTCCCCGATTCCCTCTCTCTCCTCCGCCTCGTGCTCGCTTGGGGGCGAGTCAGGCGAATCCTGGCGCCAGGAATTCTGGAGGAAGCTTGCTACATGCCTGAAGCTCCTGCTGCTCGCACCGACGATACCACCCCAGCCCTCTCCTGCTGCTCCCGGGGTATCCCTGTCGGGTGAGTCAGGGCCCCACCTCACTCGCAACCGTGATTTTGGCTTGCCCTGCTCTCCCGGGGTATCCCTGTCGGGTGAGTCTGGGCCCCACCTCACTCGCAACCGTGATGCCCGCTTGCGTTGACGTTTTCCGTTAACGTCAATCTCGTCGTCTGGTTGTCCGTCAGGCCTGATTTCGCCCCTGTGTTCGTCGTCTGATCGCCCGTCCGGTCTGATCTCACCGCCCACACCATGCGAACTGCTTTCCGCCTCTTGTAATGGTCTAGACGACGTGCTACTGTCGTTCGCCGCGTCGTCTGCAACACTCCGTCGCCCAAGCGACTCTTCGGATCGCCCAGACGCTTCCCCCACCAGCCCCGCCTCTCCGTCTAACATCTCGAAAACACCTTCTAGTCGATCAGACGACACTTCCAGTCGCCTAGACGACGCTTCCAGTGGCCAAGACGACGCTTCCACCCGCCCAGACGGCGATTCCAGTCGCCGAGACGACGCTTCCAGTCGCCCGGACGACGATTCCAGGCGCCTGGACGACGTTTCCCGCCGCTCAGAAGAGCCTAGACGGCCCGACTGCACACTACGGCTACTGTTGCCGACAGAGCGAAGATTCAGTGAGTCTAGACCTGGGCTGCGAAAACCAGCAGAGTGCTGCCCCGCTAGTGTCGCCGGGGAGCGCGGAATCGGCTCGACCGCCGCAGCAGATCGTGACCGTCCGTGCTGCTGACGGTTACGATTGCGCCTACTGCCGCCAGGCCCGATGGAAGCGGCCAAGTTGCGAGAGCTGAGAGAGGTGAGGGAGGAATCAGGCGCGCGGGAAGAATCGGGGGCGCGGAAGGAGTCAGGCGCGCGGAAGGAGTCAGGCGCGCGGAAGGAGTCAGGCGCTCGGAGGGAATCAGGCTCGCGAAAGAAATCAGGCGCGCGAAAGGAGTCAGGCGAGCGGAAAGGGTTAGGCGAGCGGAAAGAGTTAGGCGCGTGGGAAGCGTCAGGCGTGTGGGAAGGGTTAGGCGTGTGCAAGGGATCAGGCGCGCGAGAGGAGTCAGGCGCGTCAGAAGGGTTGGAGCGCATTTCGCGGGAGATAAGAGGCTGCAGGCAGGGAACGCAGAAGAAGCCATGGCCGTTACCGCAGCCATGAAGCGCATCGAGCTCCGCGTCGCTGCGAAAGGATACCCTCTCGCGGTCGCTCGAGTCGCCAGAGGTTGTCGCACGGCCGCTGTGCGACGGTTTAGGATTTCGTGAAACTGCTCTATTCGACTCCTCCCCTCTCCCCCTGGTCTCCCTCTCTCGCTTTTCTTCATGTCTCGTGTCTCTGTCACGCGAGGTTCTACGAGCGGACTGAGATGGCTCCTCATCAATACTAAGTGACCTTGACAGCTTCGGCAGTCCCGCCAAACCGAGCATGTCTTTTGAGTCGACTCAAAAAAAGTCAGCGCGAGGCTCTACGAGCGGACTGCGAGGGTCGCGCATCAGTGCTAGGTGACCGTGACAGCTTCGGAAATCCACCTACCCCGACCATGAGGATGGTTGCGTTGGCACGAGAACAATGGCGTAGGACTGACGGAGAAAACTCGTTTACGCATGAGTGTCGGTTGCACACTCCCGTCGGCTCGGCCACGTGCTAGTAACGCAGTAGAAATAACATAGATCAACGTACTAATGACACATTTGGAAACATGTGCCGTACCGCTAAGTAAAAAGAGCCCTAATCGTCCACTTTTGTAGAATGAATAACTAGCTCGCGCTGGGACTACCGAAAGTGGATGATGTTTGACAAAATGTTGGACCACGGACGAAGTAATACATTCGGAGCAGCATCCCGTAAAAAGTGCGAGACGTTAGTTTCCTGCTTTAGATTCTAGGTTGCAGCCTCAGAATGTATGAGTTGTAAAGACGTGCTAGGCTACCCATTAGGCGAAATAAAGCTTCCACTAGTCCTGCTCAAGCGCGGTTCGTGTTTGCGGTTTCATTTCATCACGGTCGAGTTGGGTGGGTCTATAGTTTCCACCACTTCTGACCATGGAAGACCAAACTGAACCGAACAATTGCAATCCCAGACACACAACCCCGCGACCTTGGGCTTCGACACTCAAGCCCAAGGCTGCGAGGGTGGGACCATTTTTCCTGACCACAACTCTCATAGTTTTCCTTCGGAATTGTGGAGTTGACTTTCGGTGAGTAGAAAATCTTTCTGGGCTTACTGTATACCGTTGTTCTGTCAGGAAGGCTGGCCAAGCTGGTGTCAAACCAGCACTAACAGAACGACGGTACAGTTCGGAGGGCTGCCCAAAACGAGCAACTGTACAGTAGTAAACAAGACTAAAACTCAACTGTTCAGTCAGACACACAGCAGCCTGAACGAAACAACGCCTTTGTCCCACACGGTGGCTAAGGTTGGAGTGCTCACGTAGACTCTACTCAGCCGTTCTCAAATATTCGAGACCGCTCTTAATCGCAAACCATCTTACCACCAACCTCATCGAGCTGCACGCCATGAGACGAGAGCCCCCCACCCACCCAAACCATTGCTGTGGGGAGTGCGCGTTGGTGAGGAGAACGACGTGCGATAAGGACGACGTGACGTGTGTATGTTCGAGGTTGGAGCGCTAGATTGGATAACTTGCGTTCGTGTAGTCGCGTTCTGTTAGGCCCCTTGGCCTAAATCCGCTAAGGAATAGCGGGGTTGACTAAATTGAGGATAAACGCGGCGGAAGACTTTGGCGAAAGAGAGTGTTGGCGAAATAGGCGAAGAGGTAACTGAGTAATTGAAGAGTTGAATGAGAATTCATTGATATTGGGGAATACAAGCAAGGTTGATATAGCATGTCGGAAAGTACTTCGTGGGACTAGAATTGTAAGGCAAGAAGAGTAGAGTGCCACGTGGCACTAGGAAATCTGGAAAGATAGGATGATGATAAGGGTGGGAAGTACTGTTCTGGATGAACAGTAAAACCCCCTGTAACACTACCCCCCTCCCAAGGAGGCGACGTCCGCGGCGCCTGCAGACTGAAGGTACGCTTGGAGGTAAGCGTTGTCATGAGACAGTGAGGACAAAGGAACCCAGCTGTCGTCTGCTGCGTCGTAACCACGCCAACGAACCAAGAAGTCGATGAAGGAGACACCCCCCTGGAGACGGCGTCGGTGCCTGAGGATGCGCTGGATCTGGTAGTCGGGCTCGTCGGTGTCAACAGCTACCGGCAGTGGATTGCGATCACGGCCCGAGAATGCGGTGTTAGGATCGGTGTAAGGCTGAAGAAGAGACACGTGGAATGACGGGTGCATGCGGAAATGAGCGGGAAGGCGAAGGCGGTATGCGACTGGACCAAGTGTGCGCTCAATGACAAATGGACCAATGAAGCGTGGGCGGAGCTTGCTGTCCTGTGGCAGTCGGAGGTTGCGGCTATCCAAAAGAACACGGTCGCCGACTGAAAACGATACCTCACGATGACTGCGGTTGGTGGTGCGTGCCATGCGTGCATTTGCGAGCTCAAGGTGCTTCCTCACGTGATCATGAATGAAGGTGAGATGCTGGTGGAAGTTGTCCGCACGAGGGACTGTGGGTGTGAGATCGACACGAGTGGGGACATTGGGGTGCTGACCGTACAGTGCGAAGAACGGTGACATGCCTGTGGACGAGTGGTGCGTGTTGTTGTAGGCGAACTCGGCCATGCCCAGCTTCTTGTCCCATGCGGCTGCGTCGTGCATCGTGATGCTGCGAAGAATCTGCTCAAAGGTCTGGTTCACACGCTCGGTCTGTCCGTCGGTCTCTGGGTGGTATGTAGACGACATGGCTAAGCGAGTCCCAAACAGTGCGAAAAGCTGCTTCCAGAACTTCGAAGTGAAACGAGGGTCGCGGTCTGAGATGATGGAATCTGGAACCCCGTGCAGTCGGACTATGTTATCTACGAACAGTGTCGCGGCTTCCTCTGCTGTGACCTTGCCGTGCGTGGGGATGAAGTGCGCTGCTCGAGAAAACTTATCCACTACCACGAAGATGGCGTCGTGACCCCTAACTGTGCGCGGTAAAGCCATGATGAAGTCCATCGTAACTACCTGCCAAGGGCGGTCGGGTGGTGGAATCGGCTGCAAAAGTCCTGCCTTGCGCTGGCGAGAGGACTTCGTACGCTGACACGTGTCGCACGAGCGAATGTAATCCTCTACGTCTGCTGCAAGCCCTGGCCAGAAGTATGTGCGACTAAGCGTCTTAGCCGTCTTATCCGCTCCGAAGTGACCCGCGCTAACTACATCGTGCGCCTCGGAAAGAAGAAGCTGTCGAAGAGGGTGGTAGGCAGGAACCCAAATCCGTGCGGTACCCTTCCGTATGTAGACACTACCCTGCACCTCTGCTCCTGCGGGCGGCTGTGGTGTGAAGTCGGGATCTACTGTGTAACCGTGCTCGAAGAGTGCTGTGAGAAGTGGGTGGCCAGCAGTGACTGTGAGGCTAGCGAGCTGGCAACTAGGGCGAGTGAGCGGATCTGCTGGGTTGCGTACGCCTGGCTTGTACTCTATCCTATAGTGAAAACTCCCCTCCATGAACTCCATCCATCTAGCCTGGCGACGACTCAGCTGCGGCTGCGAGTTGAGGAAACGAAGCGAGCAATGGTCCGTGCGTATAACACTATCTGCCCCCTCTAGGTAGCACCTCCAAACCTTATACGCATGGATGATCGCGAGCGCCTCCTTGTCGTGTATGGGATAATTCAGCTCGGCTCCCCTCAGCTTACGCGACTCATATGCTATCGGCTGCAACCCGCGGCCCTGGTCCTGAAGAAGCACTGCTCCAATGGCCCGATCTGATGCGTCGGTCACTACAACGTACGGGCGAGCGGGATCTGGGTACGACAGTGCCGGTGAAGACGTGAGCGACTGCTTCATCTGCTCGAACGCCTGCTGCTGTGCTGGACCCCAATCGAAATCTACGCCCTTCTGAAGTAGGTCGGTGAGTGGACTAGCGATCGATGCGTAACCCTGAACGAAACGACGGTAGTAATTTGCGAATCCGAGAAAGCTCTGCAGTTCCTTAACTGAGGTCGGAGCTACCCAATCCTGTACTGCTGCGATCTTCTTTGGGTCGGTCCTAATGCCACTAGCGGACACGACGTGACCTAAAAACTCGACCTCGGGGAGGAAGAACTCGCACTTCGACTGCTTAGCGTACAACTGCTCCTTCCGCAAGACCTCAAAAACTTTCTGCAAGTGCTGCACGTGCTCCTCTTTCGTCTTGGAGAAGATTAGGATGTCGTCTAAGTAAACTACGACGAACGATCCTAGGAACTCGGAGAGGACGGTGTTCATGAGCGTCTGAAACGTCGCTGGGGCATTGGTCAAACCGAACGGTAGAACCCTAAACCCGTACAACCCCTGCTTCGTACGAAACGTCGTCTTGTCCTGATCCTCCGGAACTACTCGAATCTGATGATATCCTGAGCGAAGGTCGATCTTGGAGAAGACTCTAACGCCCTGCACTGCATCCAGAAGATCCTCTACTCTCGGCACGGTGAACCTATTCTTGACGGTGGCGGCGTTCAGTGCGCGGTAATCTATGCACATCCGTAACCCTCCGTCTTTCTTAGGCGCGAAAAGGATCGGTGCTGCCCAAGGTGATCTAGATGGCTGTATAAAACCCTGCGCGAGAAAGTGCCTAACCTGCTGCGTCATCTCCTCTGTCTCCGCTGGACTCAACCTCCATTGCGGCTTCGCTACTGGTCTGCTTCCCGGCTCCAACTCTATCCGATGGTCTACTGCTCGGCTGGGAGGCAACCCTGGGGGCAACTCGTCGGGAAAGACGTCTGCGAACTCTGCTAACAGTGCACTCACCTCAGCAGGAAGAGTCGCCTTCTCACCAACTGCTGCACTCCCTCCTTTCCCCTCCTCAGCTTCCACCTCCTCAAGGAAAACCGCAAAGATCCGCGCCGCACGCTTCACTAACTGTCGCACACGAACAGCATTAATGATAGATGTGGAGGATGTGGCCGCATCGCTCCACTGTGGCAGCTCCCGGAACTCGCCATCTACCTTGACGCTGCAGCTTCCCTGAGCCCAATCGAACTGAGTGTTAACCGTCCGTAGCCAATCCCTACCGAAAATGAAGTCGTAACCGTCCAGCGTCGCCGAATCGAAATCACGCCTAACCGTGACTGGTCCTATGTGAAGTGGCGTCCCATGTACCATGCGAGCGTCCTTGAAGTTGACTGCCGAATCTGCCTCGAGATGGAGACGACTAACTAATGAAGACGAAACGAACGAGTGGCTAGCTCCGCTATCGATGAGAATCTTGACTGGAACACCGCGAAGCTTCCCTAGAAGCACGACTGGACGATCAAAAGTGTCTACCTCGTTCGGCGTAGATGACTGCTCTAAGGCCGTCTCCTCTACGTCGGTAGACGTGGCGGGTTCGGAAGCGTCCACACCAGCTAGCGACCCGCTATCTACTGGCGGTTTCCGTTTCCCTGCTGCCGCTCCTTAAGCTGTGGGCAGTCCCGCTTCATGTGTCCCGGCTTTTTGCAGTAGTGACAGTTCCCCCTAAATCCCGTTTTCTGTGAGCCGTCACTGTTAACTGCACCAATCTCCATGGGCGATGGTCCGTCCCTCAATCGAGTGTCGGTGATCGGTTTGTATCCTCTATCGCGATCGTCACGACCCCGTCGGCTTCGTACTGCGTCGACGCGTTCTGCTGCTGCGACTACCGACTCGAAGGTGGACAATCCGTGAATCGCTATGATCTCCGCTATGTCCGGCTTCAACCCTTCGAGGTAGCGATCGCGCATCTCTGCTTCCGTGATATCGTCTATCTCGTTGCAGATGCTGAAGAACCGTCGTGTGTACTCCTGGACGTTTCCTATCTGTCGGAAATGACGCAGACGCTACCTAGCAGCTTCGGAGGCATTCACCAAGTCGAACCTACTCTTCAGCGCCGCTTCAAATCCTTCCCATGTCGTCGGAACCGTGGTAACACCCAAAGCTAAACTCCCTAAGCTCGAAGTTGCAGCTGCATGCCCCTCACCCTGTTGATGCCCGTCCAAATGAGCCCTTCTTACAGCAGTTTGCGTGAGTTGACGCAACCACTCCAAGGCCGGGCCCCTCAGCAGCGTAACGGAGTACTCGACCCGCTGCTGCGCGTCCGCCTCTTGCACCCCGCTCGCGGCGAAGTAGTTGTTCAGCATGAAGATCCACGTCCGCACGTTCGCGTCGCGTTGACTTGGGTCGAACGGCTCGGGCTTCTGCGGTTTGAGCGCGCTTCGACGTTCCGGCAGCGCTTCCGCGCCAGTCGACGTGTTGGGTGCAGGAGATGGTGCGGCATGACCATGAGAAATTGACGCGAATTCACGAAGCTGTTGCATTTCAGCCCGTACCTGACGATTTTCCAGCGTCAACGTTTCGAGTTGGCGCATGAGCTGAGCAAGCGTGTTGCCCATGTCGTTGGGGAGAGCGGTCATGGTTTCATCCATGTCGGCTCGACGACTCCAAGTCTGTAAGTCGGCACCGCGGGACGATGACGTCGTAGTCTCGTCGTCGACGGTCGCTCGTTGGAAGTCGCTCCCCGCGAAGGCTCTGATACCAAGTGTTAGGCCCCTTGGCCTAAATCCGCTAAGGAATAGCGGGGTTGACTAAATTGAGGATAAACGCGGCGGAAGACTTTGGCGAAAGAGAGTGTTGGCGAAATAGGCGAAGAGGTAACTGAGTAATTGAAGAGTTGAATGAGAATTCATTGATATTGGGGAATACAAGCAAGGTTGATATAGCATGCAAAGTCGAATGTCGGAAAGTACTTCGTGGGACTAGAATTGTAAGGCAAGAAGAGTAGAGTGCCACGTGGCACTAGGAAATCTGGAAAGATAGGATGATGATAAGGGTGGGAAGTACTGTTCTGGATGAACAGTAAAACCCCCTGTAACAAGTTCAATTGTCTACAGTATTTGATGCTTCAACTGGGTTGTAGAAATCGTTCTGGAGAATGCCGTGGCGGGTACATTTTTCGTCCTGAGGTAGGGCGTGTTCATCCGCTCATTAAAAGCGGTTGAGTACGATTTGTTGCCGTTGTTCTACTTCACAACTTTGAACTTCTGTTCGCTCAGCAGCAGCCGGAACATACATGGGTGTAACTTTCAAAACCAGTAAGTTATGGACCCCAGCTCTGGTTCTTCTGATCATCCTTCTCACGTCCATGGAGCATGTGTGTTTGGCGATTCTAGTTCTGAAACCCGTGAGGCGCATTGGCAGTCATGTGTTTCAGACAAGGCACGACTATCTCTGGAAAAGCTTGCTTGTCGGGTTCTCAGTAGAAGTGCGTAGTCAATATAAATAGCAGAAATCCGACTTTAGCTCTTTAAGTGACTAAATGACGACAGCAACGACGGGGAACGTCGAAGAAACCGAAACCGAAGCATTAGGACCAAGGTATGGTCTTACCGTGCTACCGCGTTTTGTTGTCTTCACCATTGGTGTCAATTCTGCATTATCTAACCACATTCCGTCAAGCCTGGTCATTGCCATCAGGATGTTCCGTCTAAAAAAAGAAGGGTGGGCTTGGTAACCTTGAACTAACCCTTATCTTGCCCCGAGGTAACCCTCCAGTAGGTTACCCCGAGGTGGTCGAAGGGCTATCGTACAAAGTCACAACATGCCCTCGAGAAATTTATTATTTCCTGCATTATTATTCAATTCTTCATTAATTAACCTGGCGTAATGGGGTCAATGCTGAAAATTATTATCTTCCTACAATGTTTTATCATGTATTTTCCTGCGTGTATTGAATAATCATGAACTGGGGAAGCAGAATTCCAATGGAGGAAGAGCAAATCAAGGCCACGTCAGACACGGCAAACCCTTCAGGCGGCTCGCTTCGCTTCAAAATTGGAAACTGGCTTCACTCTGTCTCCGTGACCAACCCTCCTGAGCACCCTGAGAATTCACCTGGACTCTGGCACCAAATCAAGCACGCCAATGGGCGTTCGTTCCTCGCGTGGCTCCGCAATCAAGTGACCTTTTATCGGATCCACTTCCTCTCCTTCGTTATAGTCGACCTTATCGCCGCACTAATTATGATCGCCACTCCGGCCGGCAGCCTGGGAAAAATCTCCTTTATAGACGCGCTCTTTAACTGCACATCCGCACTGACCGTTACAGGACTCGCGTCCGTCCGTATGAACGTTTTTTCCACATTCGATCAGGTCCTGCTGCTGCTGCTCATGATGATCGGCAGCGCCATTTTCACTTCACTCGTCCCGGTTCTCATCAGGAGGCATTACTTCCTGAAGCACCTGCGAGAGGAGGAAGCTAAGGGCGCGTTCCCACTGCTGGCGACGACATCAGATGTCGGGCAACAGCCCAGCCGCAGCAACAGGGCTGTGTTTACAAGGTCAGAGAGCGTGCTGACCCGAGGCGAGAACAACGACGCGTTTATCAGGCATGCTATGGGGAAAATGGAGGCAGAGAGGCGGAGGGAAGCAGCGGAGTGGGAGAGAATGAAGGAGAGGGAAAGGGAGGCTGGTGGCGGTGGGGAGGGAGGAGAGGATGGGGGTGAGGAAGGCGGGGTTGGGAGCAACCCTCCACTGACTCGGCTGCAGAGGAAGCTGTCTCGATCTCTGACCACTGTGTCTCGGATTTCATCCGAACCTGTAGCACATGCACACTCTGGCCGAGGCCACGTGCAAAGCCAGTTCATGCAGAGCCATAGCGCGCAGAGCCATATGATGCAGAGCCATAGCACGCAGGGTCATAGCATGCATGATCACAGCATGCAGCACAGCAGCATGCAGCACGGCAGTATGCAGCACAGCAGCATGCAGCACCATGAGTCTCCTGCTGCTGCAGCCGCCTTTCCCCCCAGGGGGGGCTCCAGTGCTGTTCACAGCGTGGCGAGCAGTCGCAACAGGCCGAGCGGTGGGGGGATTGCGGAGGAGCATCCGGAGGAGTATGGGGGGGAGGGAGGCGTGGGGGCAGGCCCGGCAGGGGGCGATTGGGAGCAGTCGGGACAGGAGGAAACAGTGGCGCCTTTTGAGAGACGATTCATTGAGCTCAGGTGAGTGTTTGGGGGGTGGTGAAGATGCGGGAAAAGGGGGAAGAGGGTTATGGGGAGGAGGGGGGCGTGGGGGCAGGGGGCGATTGGGAGCAGTCCGGACAGGAGGAAACTGTGGCTCCTTTCGAGAGACGGTTCGTTGAGCTCAGGTGAGTGAGTGTGTTGGGGGATAAGAGGGGGAGTAAGCGGGAAAGGGTTATGGGGAGGAGGGGCGTGGTGGCAGGGGGCGATTGAGAGCAGTCCGAGCAGGAGGAGCAGTGGCTCCTTTCGAGAGACGCTTCGTTGAGCTCAGGTGAGTGAGTGTGGGTGTGTGGGTGTGGGGGAATGGGGGGGAGAGGAAGGGGGAAAGAGGTACGAAGTAGGGGGCGGGGAACGGGGGCAGGGGCGGAATGGATGGAGCAACCGGGGGAGACGGAGACTGTGCCGAGCTTCTCTTCTCCCGCCCTCTGTTCAACCTTCTCTTCTCTTCCCTCCCTGCAGGGCCCTGGAGCTGCTGAGCTGGCTGGTGCCCGCGTATTTCTTTGGCACCATCCTTGCTGCCTTTATTCTCTTCACTCTCATCGTCTGGTGGTGGCCCGAATACCACGACCTCCTCTCAGGCAAGTACCCGAATACCCCTTCTCACCCTTTTTGCACCCTTTCTGCACCCTTCTGCACCTTTCTGCACCATTCTACACACTGCTTGCACGCAGGCGCACGCATCAGCATCTCATTCAACTCCAGATTCTTCGTCTCTGCATTCGCCAAATCCGAGTTCCACATCACATGCACCCGCTGCACCATCCCCCATACCCTTCTGCATCATCCCACACCCGTCTGCACCATCCCATACCCCCTTCTGCACCATCTCACACCCCCTCTTGCTCTCCATTTCCCGCCAGGCAAGGGCATCAACGTCGTTTTCAACTCGGCCTTCCAGTCCGTGTCAGCATTCGCGAACGCGGGGTTCGGGTTGATGGATGAGAACCTCATTCCCTTCCAGCGCAACATTCCCTATCTGCTGGTGGTGGGCGTGCTCATCCTGGTGGGCAACACCATGTACGCCCCCATGCTCCGTGGCGTGCTGGCGCTGCTGCACTCCACCAGCAGGAAAGACAGCAGCCGATGGTGAGTGGGATGTGTGCTGTGTGAGTTGTGTGTGTGTGTGCGGTGTGTGTGGGAGAGGAGAGATAGAAGCGCCTGGTGGTGGGCGTGCTCATCCTGGTGGGCAACACCATGTACGCCCCCATGCTCCGTGGCGTGCTGGCGCTGCTGCACAGCACGAGCAGGAAGGACAGCAGCCGATGGTGAGTGGGCTGTGGGGCTGTGTGTGTTGTGTGTGTGCGCTGTGGGCTGTGGGCGGTGGGCTGTGCGCTGTGGGCTGTGGGAGAAAGTCGTTTTCCTTTCGTCCAACCATCCAATACCCCCTTCTCTTCACCCCTCTCTTCCCTCGTCCCCCTCCCCCTCGTCTCCCTCCCCTCCCCGTCAGGCACATAACCAAGTATCTAATGGACCATCCGCGCAAGTGCTACACGCGCAGCTCTTCCCTCTCCCTCCCACTCTCCTTCCCCGTCTCCCCTCCCTCCTCCCCTCCCCTTCAGGCACATAACGCGCTACCTAATGGACCATCCGCGCAAGTGCTATACGCACCTCTTCTCTCTCCCTCCCACTCTCCTTCCCCCTCTTCTCCTCCCCTACTTTTTCCCCCCCGTCAGGCACATAACGCGCTACCTAATGGACCACCCGCGAAAGTGCTACACGCAGCTCTTCCCACACACGCAGACGCTCTGGCTGCTGCTCACCATTGTCTGCTTCAACACCATTCAGGCGTTCTTCATCATGGTTCTCGACTGGAACACCCAGGCCTTTGAAGGGCTCGGAGGTGAGTGCAGGGGGCATGCCCCTCCCCTCCATGCGCAGATAGACCCTCTCGCTGCTCCTCTGAGTCGACTCAAAATCATGCTCTGGCTGCTGCTCACGATCGTCTCTTTCAGCACCATCCAGGCATTCTTCATCATGGTGCTCGACTGGAACACCCAGGCCTTTGCCGGGCTGGGAGGTGAGTGCACGGCACGGCATGCCTCTCCCCTCCACAAGCAGACTCCCTTGCTGCTGCTCTTGATCGTTGCCTCTACATCCATTCACAAATTCTCCTCATGGTTCTCGACTGGAACACCCAGGCCTTTGCCGGGCTCGGAGGTGAGTGCACGGCTTGTCCCGGCCTCTCCCCTCCACAAGCAGACGCTCTGGCTGCTGCTCACGATCGTTGCCTTTACATCCATTCTCTCTCATGGTGCTTGACTGGAATACCCAGGCCTTTGCTGGGCTCGGAGTGAAGCCATGCAGTGGCTGACCTTGTGACACTACACTGCTGCTCTAGCCGGCAACCATCTTCCCATTCACGCGGGCGCCCTTCCTCGAGTCAAGGTGCTCTGTTGTAACTTGCAGGCGTTTGTTGGCTTCACTGCCGAGAATAGAGTAGCTCCGCTTATTGAAGTACTGACACCTTCGGCTTTGCTCTGCTGCTGCATTCTGGTGACTTGAATTTAACCCCCTCCCCTACCCTACCCACCACCTCCTCTCCTTCCTTCAAACCCTTCCCTCCTGACCACCCCTCTCCGCACGTGTCCCAGGCGGGTACCGGTTCTTCGACAGCTGGATGCAGTCTGTCAGTGAGCACGCCGCAACGCAGGCTACTCCATCGTCAGCCACATGCCCTCCCACCCCACCCATCCCTCCTCACCACCCCTCTCCCCTCCCAGGCGGGTAACGGTTCTTGGACAGCTGGATGCAGTCAGTGAGCACGCGCAATGCAGGCCACTCCATTGTCTTCCCTATCCTCGTGTTTTTCCTCTCTCCCTCGCTCTCGCCCTCTTCCCCTTCCTCCTGACCACCCCTCTCTGCACGTGTCCCAGGCGGGTACCGGTTCTTTGACAGCTGGATGCAGTCAGTGAGCACGCGCAATGCGGGCTACTCCATTGTCAACATCTCCTACCTCACTGCCGCCACCAACTTCCTCTTTTGTGGCTTCATGTGAGTCTGCGGGTGCCGGGTTGAGGTGACTTTTGACTCCACTTTCCACGGTACTCCACCATCACCCTCTCCTATCCCACTGCCGCCACCAACTTCCTCTTCTGTGGTTTCATGTGAGTCTGGGCCAGCAGGGCTTACCTTACAGCCGGGCACGCTTCCTGCCACACTTACCAAGGCCAATTTAGGCCTTGCTATACTCCGTGCTGCTTGCTGCGCCCTCTCCCTACCGTTCCCCCCCTTCGTGCCTGCTCCACCTTCTCCTCCGTGCCCCTGCCTTCTCTCCCTTCTCCTACTCCTCTCCTCCATCCATCCCATTCCCCCATTCATCGCCCTTGCATACTTCTCAACCTTCGCACCTCCCTCGTCCCGCCTGCCTCTCCCCCACTCCCCCATCCCTCACCCCAGGTGCGTGGCAGTCTACCCCGTGTTCCTCACGCGTCAATCCTCCCGCGAGCAGCGGCACGTGCATGACATGGACGACCATTAGGGCCACCATCCCCCTTGTCCCTCTTCCCTCCTCGCCCCTCCCCCCGCCTCCCTCCCCCATCTCACACGCCACGTGCGCGCCTTGGTCCACGCGCGCGCCTTGGTCCACGCGCGCGCCTTGGTCCACACGCGCGCCTTGGTCCACGCGCGCGCCTTGGTCCACGCGCGCGCCTTGGTCCACGCGCGCGCCTTGGTCCACGCGCGCGCCTTGGTCCACGCGCGCGCCTTGGTCCACGCGCGCGCCTTGGTCCACGCGCGCGCCTTGGTCCACGCGCGCGCCTTGGTCCACGCGCGCGCCTTGGTCCACGCGCGCGCCTTGGTCCACGCGCGCGCCTTGGTCCACGCGCGCGCCTTGGTCCACGCGCGCGCCTTGGTCCACGCGCGCGCCTTGGTCCACGCGCGCGCCTTGGTCCACGCGCGCACCTTGGTCCACGCGCGCGCCTTGGTCCACGCGCGCGCCTTGGTCCACACGCGCGCCTTGGTCCACGCGCGCGCCTTGGTCCACGCTCGCGCCTTGGTCCACGCGCGCGCCTTGGTCCACGCGCGCGCCTTGGTCCACGCGCGCGCCTTGGTCCACGCGCGCGCCTTGGTCCACGCGCGCGCCTTGGTCCACGCTGCCGCGCCTTGGTCCACGCGCGCGCCTTGGTCACGCTGCGCGCCTTGGTCCACGCTCGCGCCTTGGTCCACGCGCGCGCCTTGGTCCACACGCGCGCGCCTTGGTCCACACGCGCGCCTTGGTCCACGCGCGCGCCTTGGTCCACGCTCGCGCCTTGGTCCACGCGCGCGCCTTGGTCCACGCGCGCGCCTTGGTCCACACGCGCGCCTTGGTCCACGCGCGCGCCTTGGTCCACGCGCGCGCCTTGGTCCACGCGCGCGCCTTGGTCCACGCTCGCGCCTTGGTCCACGCGCGCGCCTTGGCCCACGCGCGCGCCTTGGTCCACGCGCGCGCCTTGGTCCACGCGCGCGCCTTGGTCCACGCGCGCGCCTTGGTCCACACGCGCGCCTTGGTCCACGCGCGCGCCTCGGTCCACGCGCGCGCCTTGGTCTACGCTCGCGCCTTGGTCCACGTGCGCGCCTTGGTCCACGCTCACGCCTTGGTCCACGCGCGCGCCTTGGTCCACGCGCGCGCCTTGGTCCACGCGCGCGCCTTGGTCCACGCTCGCGCCTTGGTCCACGCGCGCGCCTTGGTCCACGCTCGCGCCTTGGTCCACGCGCGCGCCTTGGTCCACGCGCGCGCCTTGGTCCACGCGCGCGCCTTGGTCCACGCGCGCGCCTTGGTCCACGCGCGCGCCTTGGTCCACGCGCGCGCCTTGGTCCACGCGCGCGCCTTGGTCCACGCGCGCGCCTTGGTCCACGCGCGCGCCTTGGTCCACGCGCGCGCCTTGGTCCACGCTCGCGCCTTGGTCCACGCGCGCGCCTTGGTCCACGCGCGCGCCTTGGTCCACGCGCGCGCCTTGGTCCACGCTCGCGCCTTGGTCCACGCGCGCGCCTTGGTCCACGCTCGCGCCTTGGTCCACGCGCGCGCCTTGGTCCACGCGCGCGCCTTGGTCCACGCGCGCGCCTTGGTCCACGCGCGCGCCTTGGTCCACGCGCGCGCCTTGGTCCACGCGCGCGCCTTGGTCCACGCGCGCGCCTTGGTCCACGCGCGCGCCTTGGTCCACGCGCGCGCCTTGGTCCACGCGCGCGCCTTGGTCCACGCTCGCGCCTTGGTCCACGCTCGCGCCTTGGTCCACGCGCGCGCCTTGGTCCACGCTCGCGCCTTGGTCCACGCGCGCGCCTTGGTCCACGCGCGCGCCTTGGTCCACGCGCGCGCCTTGGTCCACGCGCGCGCCTTGGTCCACGCGCGCGCCTTGGTCCACGCTCGCGCGCCTTGGTCCACGCGCGCGCCTTGGTCCACGCGCGCGCCTTGGTCCACGCGCGCGCCTTGGTCCACGCGCGCGCCTTGGTCCACGCGCGCGCCTTGGTCCACGCGCGCGCCTTGGTCCACGCGCGCGCCTTGGTCCACGCGCGCGCCTTGGTCCACGCGCGCGCCTTGGTCCACGCGCGCGCCTTGGTCCACGCGCGCGCCTTGGTCCACGCGCGCGCCTTGGTCCACGCGGCGCGCCTTGGTCCACGCGCGCGCCTTGGTCCACGCGCGCGCCTTGGTCCACGCGCGCTGCGCCTTGGTCCACGCGCGCGCCCTTGGTCCACGCGCGCGCCCTTGGTCCACGCGCGCGCCTTGGTCCACGCGCGCGCCTTGGTCCACGCGCGCGCCTTGGTCCACGCGCGCGCCTTGGTCCACGCGCGCGCCTTGGTCCACGCTGCGCGCCTTGGTCCACGCTCGCGCCTTGGTCCACGCGCGCGCCTTGGTCCACGCTCGCGCCTTGGTCCACGCGCGCGCCTTGGTCCACGCGCGCGCCTTGGTCCACGCGCGCGCCTTGGTCCACGCGCGCGCCTTGGTCCACGCGCGCGCCTTGGTCCACGCGCGCGCCTTGGTCCACGCGCGCGCCTTGGTCCACGCGCGCGCCTTGGTCCACGCGCGCGCCTTGGTCCACGCGCGCGCCTTGGTCCACGCGCGCGCCTTGGTCCACGCGCGCGCCTTGGTCCACGCGCGCGCCTTGGTCCACGCGCGCGCCCTTGGTCCACGCGCGCCTCTTGGTCCACGCGCGCGCCTTGGTCCACGCGCGCGCCTTGGTCCACACGCGCGCCTTGGTCCACGCGCGCGCCCTGGTCCACGCGCGCGCCCTGGTCCACGCGCGCGCCTTGGTCCACGCGCGCGCCTTGGCCCACGCGCGCGCCTTGGCCCACGCGCGCGCCTTGGTCCACGCGCGCGCCTTGGTCCACGCGCGCGCCTTGGTCCACGCGCGCGCCTTGGTCCACGCGCGCGCCTTGGTCCACGCGCGCGCCTTGGTCCACGCGCGCGCCTTGGTCCACGCTCGTCAGTCCTCCCGAGGACCTAGCAGGCTTTGCAGAGGACCTAGCAGGCTTTGCAGAGGACCTAGCAGGCTTTGCAGAGGACCTAGCAGGCTTTGCAGAGGACCTAGCAGGCTTTGCAGAGGACCTAGCAGGCTTTGCAGAGGACCTAGCAGGCTTTGCAGAGGACCTAGCAGGCTTTGCAGAGGACCTAGCAGGCTTTGCAGAGGACCTAGCAGGCTTTGCAGAGGACCTAGCAGGCTTTGCAGAGGACCTAGCAGGCTTTGCAGAGGACCTAGCAGGCTTTGCAGAGGACCTAGCAGGCTTTGCAGAGGACCTGCACGGGGGCGTGCTCGACTCCTCCGTGCTGGCGCAGGGCCCGCACCTGGTGGCACAGGACTCCTCCGCCCTCCCCTTCCACCCCACTCCTCAGTCCAATCTCCCTCCATCTTTTCTTACCCTTCTCCTCTCTGCCCTCTCCCCTCCTCCCCCGTTCCTCACCCCAGGTACGTGGCGGTCTACCCAGTGTTCCTCACGCGTCAATCCTCCCGAGAGCAGCGGGACGTGCACGACAGCGACGACCTAGCAGTCTTCGCAGAGGATCTGCACGGGGGCGTGCTCGACTCCTCCGTGCTGGGGCAGGGCCGGCACCTGGTGGCACAGGACTCGGTGTACCTCTTTGTCTCCGTCTTCCTCATCTGCGTCATCCAGAACGGGGACTTCAACTCCGATCCAGCCAACTGGACCGTCTTCAAAGTTATCTTCGAAATCATCAGGTATATGCTCCCACCCTGCCCTGGTTTGGGGTACCTAAAACATCTTCGCTGCCAGCCACGTAGCTTCATGGCACCAAGGTATTACCTCCTCCCCCACTCCATCTCATTACCCACCCAGTGCTTACAGGTTACTCTCTCTGTTCCCATAGCCAGCTCTTTCCATCTTCCTCCGTTTTCCTCTCCCACATCTTCCCCTCCACTCCACCCCACCACCCCCAGTGCCTATGGAAATGTGGCCATGCCTCAGCAGTTGATGTCCCCTCGGCCCACTCCACCCCGACCCATCACCACCCTGCCCCACCAGCAACCTCTATTACCAGATTTTATTGGGAACTCAAGACTCCCCCTCTGCTTTATCCTCCCCACTTCCCTCCACCCCGATCCACCACCACACAGTGCCTATGGCAATGTGGGTCTATCTCTAGGGAACAGCTGCCCCACCAGCAACCCCGATTGCACTGATGCTCCGCCCTACAGCTTCTCAGGTAAATTTCCACCTGACAGCTTCTCAGGCAACTTTTCCACCTCAGGTAAGTAGACCAAGGTGCAAGGTCGTTTTGTTTTAGAGCATCCCAGGTGGTCTATAGAAGTTTTTCAGTACAGTTGTTCCCCCTCCTCCTCCTTGCTTCTTCCCCTTCTCCTCTCATCACTCCTGCAGGCTCGTGGTCGGTACTCTCTAAGTTAATAGTCATCCTCGTGATGCTGCTGGGACGACACAGAGGGCTGCTTGTGTTCCTTCTGACCCTGCTCCCCCTCTCCTCTTATCTCCTCTCCTCTCATCAACCCTGCAGGCTCATGGTCGGTGCTCTCTAAGTTATTAGTCATCCTGGTGATGCTGCTCGGGAGCCACAGAGGCCTGCCTGTGCTCTTGCTGACCCTGCTCTCCCTCCTCCACACCCCCTTTTCCTTCTCCTTAACCCGACCCTGCAGGCTCATGGTCGGTACTCTCTAAGTTATTAGTCATCCTCGTGATGCTGCTGGGGCGCCACAGAGGGCTACCAGACAACATTGACGCCGCCATTGTCATTCCGCTGCCCAAGCAGTTCCAGCGCCAGCCTGGCCGACCAATCAAAGGTGACGAAAATCAATGACTTGTGAGGAGATTTATGAATCCATTCATACCTTTGTGAGCGGTTCTATAGCAGTTGACCTTTGAATCTAGGCACAATTCTCCGCGTCAGCCTCGCCGGCCAATCACAGGTGACGCCGATTTTTGACATGTGAAGCGGATGGCATATGACTGTGGTTGCAGCGGGCTTGGCAATGTTGCGAGGTCCTACCTAGTGAGCCTCTTCGTTCCTTTGTCCCCGCCTCCCCATGCGCTTGTCCCAGCCCTCCCGGCCCTTTTCCTGACTGGTGTCACAGATGATCCTGCTGTCTTGCTCACACGAGCATCACAGACGATCCTGCTGTCTTGCTCACACGAGCATCACAGACGATCCTGCTGTCTTGCCGTGTGTCACGCAACAGCCGTTTGAGATCTCTCAGAAGTTCTCCTCCCCCCCTCCCCCCTCCCACCCCCTGTTTCCCGCCATGTGTCACAGAGGACCCCGCTGTGCTGCTCACGCGGGCGCGCACAATGACCAAGTCCCAGCCCAGCACTCTAATGCGCCGCCTTCTCTCACAAGGGCCTGTTGAGACCTTCTGAGATGTCTCAAAAGTCCCCCCTCCCACCCCCTGTTTCCCGCCGTGTGTCACAGAGGACCCTGCTGTCCTGCTCACGCAACAGCCGTTTGAGATCTCTCAGAAGTTCTCCTCCCTCCCCTCTCCCTCCCACCCCCTGTTTCCCGCCCTGTGTCGCAGAGGACCCCGCTGTGCTGCTCACACGAGTGCTCACAATGACCAAGTTTCAGCCCAGCACTCTCGTGGGCCGCCTTTTCTCACAAGGGCCTGTTGAGACCTTCTGAGATGTCTCAAAAGTCCTCCCTCCCACCACCTGTTTCCCGCCCTGTGTCACAGAGGATCCTGCTGTGCTGCTCACGCGAGCGCTCACAATGACCAAGTCCCAGCCCAGCACTCTCGTGCGCCGCCTCTCCTCGTACGTAGCCCTTGCACCGGTGTGTGTGTGTGCGTGTGTGTGTGTGCAGCACATTTCAGCCTTCTTGTGCTGAAATCTAGGTTGATTATGAAGCACCTCAAACAGCTTTCTCTTGCTGGAATACAGGGTGCTATAGTGTGAGATCATTCCCCCCCTGCTCGTGTCCCACACATTCCCCTGTGCACATGTGATCCCTTCCCCTACCAAAGCTTCTGCTGGCTAACAGCCATGAGTTGAGGCCTGCAGTGCAGCCCCCTCCAAAGAACCCATACAGAACATTCCAATCCATCCATGTACTCATGCGTTGTTAGATACGGCGATTTCTGATGCGTCTGAATAGTTGTCTGCAGCCAGCAGCCCCCTCCAGAACCACACATGCAGAACATTACAATTCATCCATGTTCTACCCTACCCAACCCATGCGTTGTTCGCAGGCTGCATGCTACTCGGTCAACTGCTGGAACCATGCCATCTCCAGTGCCCTCCTCCATCCCCTCATAAGTGCCGTACCGGGTTCACACCAGCTAGAGCATTCAATTATAGCCTATGCATTCGATTCAACCCCTGCAATATCGAGCCATGCCATCTTCAGTGCCCCCCTGTACCCCTGCAGAAGTGCAGTTCTGGTTTCAATAGCATATGCATGGTGCGGAGCTTGCTTGCTCAATTTCTCATTCACGGTAGTTTATTTTAGACGCATTGTGCAGTTCTGCAGTTGTATGGCTTTTCCTGAACTGACAAGATACACAGTTCCGCAATGCTCCTTCAAAAGTGCATAAGCAATTCTCCTGGTTATGGACTGTGCTCCTGGTGGTTTGTGCATACCATACGTCAATAGAATATATGGCAATTGGGTTGGATTAGTGGTGTGGGGTCAGATTGCATATACACCCTCTTTCTCGCCATTGTGAATTCGGTTATAGTGAAGTCAAGATGGGAAAAGCACGGTTAACGGTGGTTAGATTAAGTCTCGGTATGGTTCAATCAGACAAAATCGAAGATAACAAGGTTTTCCACCAGTTCGGCACAGTTCAGTGTAGTGAGAAACAGGGTGTATCATATACACCTTACCCTTTTCAACACCTGGGCCCGGATCGCGTCCTTGTCGTTTTGCTCTGGGGTTGAAATTGGTCGGAACAAAAAAGTTCCCTCCAATTTCAACACCCTGACGGAACAATTGATGGTTTTGAACTATTCTGAACCATGTTAGAGCGTTTTCACTCGGTTCTGGGTGGTGAGGTGATGTTGCTTGGACCGAACCGTGCTCGCCCCAGGGCCACAGGTGACGACAAAGGGGTTGAAATTGGTAGGGATTGAAGTAAGCGAGGGACAGGTGTATAAAGTGATGACTGTAAGTGTTCATAAATGCTTGTGCAGGTTGGAGCATTGGTTCGAAGCGTTGGTGTGATCACGTGAAGGAACAAGGGCCGCCGCGTGCCAGCCAACGACCTCACCCTCCGCGTGAGTCCTTTCCAGCGTGGAAAGTTGCCAAGCTTCACCACTAGCCGATCTTCAACGGTCAGTTGAGCTTGATGTCCTTACAGCTGCCCCACCCCCGGAACCATGGAGACGGATTTGGCTGAACCTCATTTTCGTGTTGTGTACTCTACACTGCGCTGCTTTGTGCTGTGAAATTTTGGGTTATGTGAAACTGTTTACCGCTGACTTTCTTCCCGTTGCCCGTTCTGAGTTCCTTGTCCCGCTTGGCCATCCGGACCCTTGTCCGATTCTTTGTTTCCTTGCTGATGACCATTGGCCTGCTTTGGCGCGCATGCTGCAGAAGTCCTTCTTGAAGTCTTGAGAAACACGACATATGGATCAACTCCATTTGTGCTAGCTGGTCGTCGTTGCTAAGGACGTGTCACGGTTTGCATCTGATCGGCTGTGATCGGGTCGGGGCTGATCAGGTCGGGGCGCCCCTGCCTACTGTACTCGCGCCGCCCGATCAGACATGAAATTCGTCGAATATTCCAGGTGTTTGCCTGGCATGCTTGTCACCCTTTCCTGCCAACTTTGTGCCCACTTTGGCGAGGGCGAAGTCCTCAGCCTGGAACTAGCGAAGTTTAATGTTATCCTGTAATTTCTCATGAAGAGGTGAGTTCAGAAACAAGATGATGGGCTGTGAGTCGAAGTGAAGAAATAGAGCTAATTTGAAGTGAAGTACGGGGCACGTAGTCGAGCGCAGGGCATGTGTTTGATTGGTTGTGCGAGGGCTTCACGAAGCCCTCCAAAACTATGTAACTTTTCGTTGGTATCGCTAGATACCCCAACCCAATGCAATCAACTGATTGTCGGTGATTGTGTGGGGTTGTGTTTGAATCGGCTGTTTTAGGCGGTTGATCGACTGGGGGCGATCAACTGATCGCGATCAAGTGATTGCCCCCGATTGCCCGAATTCGCTACCCTAGCTTCCTGGAAGTGGCTGATCGGCTGTGATCGGGGCGATCAGAAGCGAACCGTGACACGTCCTAAACATCGGTCGCCGCGTTTTTTGTTTTCCACGGCGTGGAGTGGAACCCTGTGACACTTTGTGTGTTTGAGGGCCCAGATTGTGCCTGTGTGACATTAGAAGAGAACTGAGCCCAGTAGAGGTTGAAATTTCACTCTCCTCGTCAGTGCATTTGAGTGGAAATACCACTGATGAGAATCACTGGGCTCCAGTCTGAAACTCAAAATTTCCCGTTGCTACTTGTGCCATCAATCTGTTCCTCTGTCAACTGTGCACATTTATGACTCGCCGAAGCATCAACCATTCGGGGGCACCGAAGGTGGTTTTCTGTACGGCACGCGGAACAAGCATAAGTGCGGCGGCGGGCGGAACAATATTGTTTGCGCACATGCTGTGATTGGACACGTGGGCCGGGGGAAGTCCGCTTGCATCTGTACAGTGGTGTCATGTACAGTTCACGTGGTTTCTGGTAGTTCTAACAATTGTCTTCAAATTGCAGGGCACAACTCTCTTATTGTACTGAACCCGTGGGTACTTCTGATGGATCCGAGTTCCGCACCAATTACCAACGCACGAAGTGCCATTCTCAGTCCCAGACCGGGTGTTAACAAGCACAGTTACTTGGCAGCTAGTAGTCCGTAGAGTTTAGGGTGTCACCTCAGCTGAACCTCCCAGTAGAATGTTTTGTCAAATAGGTGTCCTCCGTACTGTACCCCCAATGCCTTGAATTCGGGTCTGCCCTGTCCAATTTCCTCCCTTTTTCCTGATTTGGCTTCATTTTCCCTTCGGAGCGCGTGCCACAGCCCTCCCCTTTCGCCCACCAAACCCTTTCCTCAAAGCATGTGCGGTGGTTGACAAGCAGGTGATGCAGCCGCTGCAGTGGTCTTGTGCTCACTCCCAACCCTTGAAACCTGAGCTGCTTTCTCCACGTTATTGCAACCGCGTCCATACTCCATACCCTAATTGAAGACTGTCACCTGCCTATTTCTCCTGTCCATTACGTGGACGGTTTATTCGACTCAACGCACGTTGTCGCACCATTTCTTCCTACTTACTCAGCCAGGACAAATCATCGTGAATACTCCACTTCCAGCTAATACAACACAACCACGCCGCCAAACGTGTGCAGCCTGGATGCCTGAACCATATCACGGATTGTGCTAAATCGTCAGCCTTTCGTCGTTCACAAACGAGCTAGCAACATATCTCTCCAATTCCCTATCGTCTCAATCTCCATATAACCATATCGGCGATCGCCCGCTTTCAGTCTGATTTCGATTCCTCAGCTTGCCGCACCTTTAACGTCGCACCTTAGCAGAGCGATTATACCCGTCAATGGCCGCAATGGTAGCTGTCCCGCATGCAGCTCCTTACCGAAGCCCTCCTCAGCCGAACCTTTCGCCAATGTCCGACCATGCTTTCGCAGATATTCCGCCTATGCCGCGCCGCAGCCTAGCGGTCCAGATCCCCGACCCCGAAAGCGAAGAGATCTCCGCCCCGCCCCCGAGACCTATCGAGTGGATCCCGGCAGACGACGCCGTCTGCGACGACGACGACGATTCCGACGACGAAATCTGGGACATCGATATTTCGCGCACGAGCACTGGGGGGACCCGTTACAGTGCGCCTCCTTATTGCAACGGCGGGTACCAGGACCCGCAAGTATTGCTGCTGGGCCTCCGCGCGGGAGCAAATTGTCCACCTATCTCCCACAGCGGCCCCCAGCCGTGCACGGGCGCGATTCACGGAAGCTTGAGGTTTCCCAAAGGGCAGGTCAGCTGCCCGTCCGTACCTGACCGGAGCGCTGCTTCGCAATTCCGAGGAAACGGGGATGATGAGGGGGAAGAGGAATGGGATGAGGACAGGGAAGGTGAGGAGCAATCCCCCGACGCGGGAATCACGGCGTCTGAGATCTCCGCGCGATTGAAGCTACTAGAGGTAGAGCTGCAGATCCTGGAAACGCATCGCCGAGTCGCGGTGCTTCGCTGTCAGCGCGAAGTCAACGGCGCAGCGGAGACTAACTCCTGTGCAGATAAGACCTCCACCTCTGCGGCAACCACCGGTTGCGCTAGTGGAGCCGCGGACGGTGCTGCTGCGCCTGCGGGTAGCAGAGCCGCCAGTGTCTGCGCCGCTAGCAGCGCGGGAAATTCCGGAAGCAATT